AGCCCCGTACAGCTTCCGGGTCATGTGGCCAGCATGACTAAGCCGCTTCTGGCGAACCAGAGCAGCGCACGGAAATGCCGTTTATCTTCCCGCCGGAGTGGTACCTATTTATCTACTTGCACTTTGAGGTGCTTTCAAACTGCTAGGTTGGCAGGAGCAGGGACCGAGCAACGGGAACTCACCCCATCACAGGGATTCGAACCGCTGACCTTCTGGTCGGCAAGTCCTAGGCTCTGTGGTTTAACCCACAGTGCCACCCGCAGCCAATAAACTCTAAGATCATTTATATTCCTCCACTGCAGGATTTATCACTATTATTTATTAATTTCTATACCACCCTTTATCTGAAGACCACAGGGCAATTTGCAATATAAAAACACAGAAACGTACAGTATAAAAGCAAACAGAAGGAGGTTGCACTACATGACCCTCAGAGTCCCTTCCAATTCTCTGATTCTATATTGGTGAGCAGAAGAGGCAGGGCTTTTTCAGCGGTGGCTCCCAAAGTGTGTTAACTCCCTTCCTAGGGATATAGAGTTGGCCCTACTCAGTTCTGGCTTTCGAAAACACACTTTAGAAGCCATTTTATTCCAAACTGCTTTCAGGTTTCTTGTTGCTATTTTCCAGCTGTGGCCTTGGGCTGCTAGGGGATGATTTAATTCACTATTTGACTTCATTCCTCTTCCCTCTTATTTTCTATTGTTGATATCAGGTTGTGAGCCTACAGTCATGGACTGCCTTGTGCTTTAATTGTCTGTCTGCTTTAAATCACTTAGAAGTATTTTGCTCTAGCAAGAATCATGGAAGTTTTGTGAAATAAATGAATCACCTCTGTACAGCACCTACAACATTTTATATCGCCTATTAACCAATCCTAAAAACAAACAAACAAAACCAAACAAACCAGTGGACAGGGATTCAAATCTGCAACCTTCTGCAGGCAAAGCAAGTGTTCTTCCATGTAACATTCAGCAAAGTTCCAGTTCCCACTGTTCGTTTTTGCCCAATAAGGTCTGGGGCTGCAAGGGAGAATTCTTTGCTTGCATGTGCCACCCCTTCCAAGTTAAGGGGGGGGCGGTCTCCCTGAAGTCACCAAGTGGAGTGTACAGACCAAAACACAACAGTAATCTCCAGGGAGCTATCCTGCTTTGACTATGGAGTGCTGCTCACACCTCTCTCTATAGCAGGACTAAGAGCCCTTTTCAGTCCAAGGACCCCATTCCCTTCTGGGCAACCTTGCAAGGGCTACATGCCAGGGGTGGGCGGGTGCCAGAGGCAAAAGGGGGCACAGCGACAAACTATATTATTTGGCTGTGAGTCCTGGAATACCTGCTCCCTGTCCTGCAGGCTTTTTTCCACCTGGCATGGGACAGTGGGGGCCCTGGTTGACTCCAGTTTAGGGAGTTTTGTGGGGGGAGTGTTGCTGCTGGGTGTTGTTGGCAGGGGTTTTTTTGGGGGGGGTTGTATCCTTATTTTAGATTTTTGTGGAAATTGCTGACTTTGGTTGTGTATTTTTTTTAAAATGTCTTATTTATTATTTAGAATTACAGTGGCACCTCGGGTTAAGTACTTAATTCGTTCCGGAGGTCCGTACTTAACCTGGAACTGTTCTTAACCTGAAGCACCACTTTAGCTAATGGGGCCTCCTGCTGCTGTCACGCCGCCAGAGCACGATTTCTCTTCTCATCCTGAAGTGAAGTTCTTAACCTGAAGCACTATTTCTGGGTTAGCGGAATCTGTAACCTGAAGCGTATGTAACCTGAGGTACCACTGTACTTTGGTTCTGTTCTACTGTAGTTATGTATTTTTTTTCCTATGTTGGAAAGGGCCTGGAGCATGGTTTGAATGCTGGATAGGTGGCATGCAAATAAAATTATGTATGCACATGTTTTTCCTTGCTTCCGTAGGCTACTTTCTGCACACACTGACATGACCCCCTCTATCTACCATCCAGGCAAGCAAGAGTTCAAGGGCAGATTCTACCCATGGAAAAACACTCAAGTAGAGTGTGAAGCAGGACCAGTGAGGGGTGAGGCCTGGAGGGCAACATCTGACCACTCCTGCTCTACAACTTTCCCACACTCTAAGCTAAACCCTCCATGTACACTTTGGAGCAATGCCAAGTCAAATCTGAAACTGCCACCGAGGCCAAGGCTTGCCCATCACACTTACATCATCATTATAGCCCATGTGCATCCCACAATCCAACATGACGTTTTTCCCTGCAATGGACACGAGGATGCAGCTCCGGCCCACATCTTGGCCAGCTCCTGAAAAGGCAAAACAGAAGAATATGTGAGTTGAATGGCCTTCAGTCTTAACAAAGGTGCTGCATTTCTGCAAGGTCACATAGCACATCTTTGGTGGCCTATGTAGGACTTCTGGGGCTCAGATCCACCAAGAACTTCGTTCAAATAAGTCTGAATCTCCTTTCTTGTAACTTGAAGCCATTGTTTTGGGTCCTGGCCTCCAGAGCAGGAAAAACAAGCTTGCTACAGCCTCTGTGTGACAGCCCTTGAGTTATTTGAAGATGGTTATATCTCTCCAGTCTCTTCCTTACCAGGCTAAACATACCCAATGCCCTCATCTGCACACATTACAGCTTGTGAATATCCTTCTTAAATTGTGGTGCCCAGAACTGGACACAATACTTCAGGTGTAGGCTGACCAAGGCACCATAGAGTATAGACTGGTACTATTACTTCCTTTGATCAGGACCCAGCATAGGCAAACTCAGCCGTCCAGATGTTTTGGGACTACAATTCCCACCATCCCTGACCACTGGTCCTCTTAGCTAGGGATGATAGGAGTTGTAGTCCCAAAATATATGGAGGGCCAAGTTTGCCTATACCTGATCAGGACACACTTCTGCTGAGGCAGCCTAGAGTAGCACTAGCTTTTTTGCTGCTGCATCACATGTTAAGCTTGTGGTCTACTACGACCCCTAGATCCTTTTCGTATTTGTTGATTGCCACTCAGAAATCTGTAGTTCAGAAACGGAACTCTTTAGAAAATTTACACTTATGTGATGAAAAGTGGAGGGACCCACATTCCCCATGCCTGATCTATACCACCTAGAATCACTGTCAGTACACCTACCATTCCTAAAAATGGAGCTCAGTGCCTCAACTTGGGCAGACTGAGGACCCTAAACTCCAAGAACGCACCCCTCCATTTTTCGTTTCTCTTTCCTCTTGGACAAAACAAGCGCCAACATTTTTGTTACTCACCCAAGGGAGTGACTTTTATTTCAGGCATCTTTAAACACCTCGGGTTAAACCTCCAAAGTCCAGATGCAATGGGAGCCGTTTCAGAGATCCCATAAGTGTTCCCCAATGGTGTCACAGCTTCAGAATCTTATGCAGAAGATTAATTCAAGATGTCCTGAAGGATAACAAAGAAATTTATACAGTGGCAGTGCTGCTGCTATAACTCACCTCAGACCAAGCCATTACCCGGCATTGGGTCCTGACCAATGCTCTATGCCAGGGCTTTACCAACCTGGCTCCCTCCAGATTACAGAACCATAGAATCGTAGCGTTGGAAAGGGTCACGAGGGTCATCTAGTCCAGCCCCATCTTTCTCCCAACATGGGATTTGAACCTATGACCCTCGGTTTAAGAGTTATGCTCTACTAACTGAGATATCAAGCCTCCATTCAAAATCATGCCCTTCCATATGTTTCAGGCCCTCAATAGCCCCACATAGGGTTTCAGCCAGGAGATTCTACCTGGAGGTGCTGGGGATTTCATTTATTTTTATACGTTTATTAAATTTGCATACCGCCCTTCGCCCAAAGATCTCAGGGCAGTTCACAGAATAAAAGCTGAACTTGGGACCTTCCGCATGGAAAGCAGGTGTCCTTATCAACTTCAGGGGCATGCATGGGTACAGCACTCCGAAAACACTGGAAGGCTTTTGTTAAGCACCATAAAGTGTAACCAGTGCCCGATTTACATATAAGCTAAACAAGCTATAGCTTAGGGCCCCACTCTCTTGGGGCCCTCCAAAAAATTTAAAGGGGAACAACAACTGGATGTACACTTCCAAAAAAATACGTGTTTTGTTATGTGCAAATACCTATTAGGTCTATAAATTACCATATAGCATATATTCAACACAAAAAAACAGTGGCAATTTGTTGCTGACAAAGGACAGCTGAACATATAAAGGGCCGCAGTACCTTCAGTAGCTTAGGCCCTCATCAAACCTAAATCCGGCCCTGACCGTAACAAGCCACCTTTGGAGAATATTTACAATTGTGCCACGCTCGAGCTCCCACTTGTTATTTTTAATAAAGCACCTTTCCCACCTACACAACCCCGCGCATGCCTAGTTATTTGTTTTACTCCTGCTTGCTCATTCACCCGTGTACCCGCTTCCTTCGAGGAGCTCCAGGTGGCCTCCATGGGCCTTCCCAGCTTCTCCTCACAACAACCCCGAAGGGGAGGCCAGGCGGAGGGCGAGCGACCCGCCTCCTCTTCTCACGCAGGAACGCGATTCTTCCGCGTGGCGTTTCTGCACCCCCCCCCGAACACCCCGACCCCGGTTTCCCTGTCTCCATGGCAACAGGAGTCGTCACCCCACCCTCCACCCCCGCTTGCCGCCACTTTCTTTGCAAACTCACCTGGCCGGTTGCGCCTACAAACGCCGAACGCAGCCCTGGGTCGAGGGGCGCATGCGCCCGGCGGTCGCACTCAGCTGCCTACAACCTGCGCCAAACTGGCATATAGACTTTTTTTAAACCAAAAAGTGCAGAGTGACGCACTCAACAGTCAATTTCCGAGGTAGAAAGTACATAGTCTCATAGAGTTGGACGTGAATGTACCCCCTCAGAAGAGCCCTTAACCTCATTTACGTAGTTACAGGCTAGCGCATGAAACGTTAGGTCAGAAGTTTTGGGTCTGTGTTAAAGTTCACAGACGAGCGCCGAGAGCCTGCGACTCTATACTTTTTTTTTTATCTCTACGGAACGCACGGGCTTGGAAGTGGCGCGCATGCGCCTTGGCTGGACCACGCGGGAAGTGTACCTCCGTCCCTGCGCGCATGAATGTTACGGAAGCGTAGGTTCCAGAACTAGCTTCCGCGCTCCTATTGGCTGGCGCGGCTTGGGAACCCTCGCCTCTGCGGAACCTAGGGATGGCAGGCGATTGGTCGAGGAGAGGAGGTAGGCGGAGACAGGTGAGCAGGAGGCGGGCTTTCATTGGCTGCGCTGAAGTTGGAAAGAAGGAAGCGGTCGCTAAGGTAAGTCAGTCTGGTTGCTGGGGAGGGGGAGAAGAGACCCTCCTAAGGGAGAGGCCCTTCCTCTTCCCATGGAGGGCTGATATGGGGCAGAGGCTTGGAAAAAGGAGGTCGATGGGGCAGAAGAAAGAGGAACCCAGCGCACCTGCGGCTCCCAGCCCTGTACACCTGAGATTTTATTATTTTTATTATTTTATAGATCAGTTAAATGTCAAATTACTTCTATTGCCGGGGTTGTATCCCAAGTAACTTACACTTAAGAGTAGACCCATTCAGTTGCGTCCAGTGCTTGTCCTACTCAAGAGCAGGCCCACTGCAGTTAATGAATGCAAGGACATCCACTCATTGAAATGAATGAATCTTACCTTAGCCAAGTCCATTTATGGGTCTACTCTGCATAAGTCCATTTATGGGTCTACTCTGGGTAGGGCTAGCATTGGATACATATGTGTGTGTGTGTATCATTTGATTTTTTTTTAAAAAAAAGTTTTTACAACAAAATATTTTATATATCTTATAGTTGCTGATGTTTCTGTTGTGAAATCACTTCAAGGAAGTGATCTGTAAATTAAATATATGGTTTTTAAAAAATAGACTTCGAGGTTGCCTTTCAAAACAGGAACATCCTGTCAAGGCAGCGTACAAAGTATTTAAACATGTTAAGGTGTGCATGTCGAGGGACGAATCATTCTCCTAAAATTGTGGGACAGAGTTGTTAAAACTGTTATCGGTCCAAACCAGGAATCCCATCCTAAAAATTAAAACCTAAGCACAACTGTAAAAACAGATGGGCAATTTAAAAAAATTAAAAAATAGTAGTAGTATTGAGTTGTATCCAATTATACTCAAGTATATGCACTGAAACTGATGTACCTAAGTTATGTCAACTTCAAAGGATCTACTCAACTGGTACCTAGAGCAGTTGGGGAATAGGAGGGAAAGTTTTTATTTTTTTAAAAAAAGTATCAAAACCCAGACAGAGAAGGAGGTTGCATAGTTTTGTTTTTTAGTTTTGTTTGCTTACCAAGCAATACTGCTTGCATCTGTTCAGAAGTAAGCCCCATTAAGGTCAATGGGAGTAACACCCAGATTAGGATTTTTCAGTGAGTTGTATCCAACCTTACTCCTGTTAAGAATAGAGCCCCTGAAATGAATAGTGAAACTTAGGTCCATTATTGTCTTATTTTTCTTATTGATAATTTTATTGTTTTACCTTTTTTGTAAATCATTTTGAGGGTTTTTGATTTTGTTTTTTACACAATCAAACAGTGTTAAAACCTCATAAAATAAATTAATAAGTAATTTCAGGGAGACTACCGTGAGTCAACCCAATATTTCTACACTGACTTTCAGGGCAAGCCTACCCAAGACAGTTCACATTCATAATTAAAACAACAGCTACTTCAGTATACCTACAATCATAACTTTCCATTTACAGGCAGTCTGATACGTGCTACTGGCTGGCTAATGCCGGGGGGGGGGGAAAATAAAACGGAGACCGCAACAGGTTAAACATGTCAGGCACCTTGTAAAACCAGGTCAAAACAACACTTACCAAGGCATGTTTAAAAGCCTGTAATGAAAGGAGTCAAACGTGTATCGCTTGAGGGGCCCACAAACCAGGGCCCTCCCAGTGAAACACGTTCCGTCCCTCCATCCCACAAACCCGATTGATCTTGCTTATTATTTGCATACTACTTGATACTACTGGCCTGATCCAGCAGGGCTCTTCTTGCGTAACGATCTGAGCAGGGATAAGGCAGCTCTCAATGTTCCTGGCCTCATTTATGGTTTATCCACCAAGCAGCTGTTGACTCTTGCTGTCTGTTTCAGAGCTTCGCCATGGCCTACGGGGATGATGGACACAACCTGAGGGAAGTGCTGGCCACTTTCAAGTCCTGTCTTGACGAGAAGTCGGAAATCCTAATGGACCCTTACTTAGCAGGCTGGAAAGGGCTTGTCAGGTAAGGCTGTCCACCTAGTTTGGGAACCGAGCTTAGATCTGGCTCCACATCGGGAGTTGGGAACCTGTGGCTGCTCAGATGGCTAAAGCGCCTCTGCCAGTCAGTGTAGACCACACTGACCTACATGGGCCAACACGATGACTTATAAGGCACTTCCCTATTTTCCTTTGTTACTGACCAAGGCAAAAAATGGGGTCCCTGGCCCCGCTCCTGCCACCTCTCTGCAAGTGTCCTCATGGCATGGCATTCAACGTTCCCTCTTCCACCCACAAGGAACAGGAAAAGCGAGTGGGAGACCATCAGCAGATAGTCCTTGTCCCTGAAGAGTTGCAGGGAAGGCTGGTTGCTTGTCACAAGCGAAACTGTTGAAGCCTGCCCTCTGACTGTAAACTGTTTCTTGTTGAGACCGGCCCGCATGGATCTAGGTGGAAACTTCTGTCATTTATTCTGTTGGGTTGCGCCTCTAAACCAAGGGTGGGGACCTTTTTTCAACTCCACAGCCGCATCTCTGCAGTGGGCAGGGCCAGAGGCAACATCGAGTGGAGCTTCTAATGCATATTTTGCCTTTCGGCAGCAGGCTAGTCTATACACGCCCTCTCTATCCTCCTTCCACGCGTGCAAGAGCGTTAGCAGTGCTCAAGGGACACATTCCAGCTGGTTTATGAAGAGTAGGGCCAGTGAGGGGGTGTGGGCTGGGGAGAGGGCCAGACAGAGAGGCCAGGAGGGCTGCCTTCAAGGTTTCCCACCTTGAAGGCTCCTTGTAACCACAGGGTTCTGTTTTGGAAAGCAGGTTTCTGAACACCATGGGCACAATCTTCACCTTCGTTTCCAAAGACGCAGTGGCCAAAATCCAAATCATGGAGGAATTCCGAAGCGGCCCCCATAAGGAGAGCTACAGAACCCTTCAATCCATGGTGAGCTACGAGATGGCCAACAACCTGGTAGACATGAAGAAGAACACCGAACGCCCCGTATCGGGCTGCCGGACAATCCTGCGCCTCCACCGAGCCCTTCTATGGCTGCAGCTCTTCCTAGAGGGCCTGCGGACCGGTGGCGCAGACTGCAAGACGTCGGTGGTCTGCACAGATTCGTACAATGCCTCTCTGGCCAATTACCACCCTTGGATTATCCGCAAGGCAACCACCATTGCCTTCTGCACTCTGCCCAACCGGGAAGCTTTCTTTGAGAACATGAAGGTGGGCAGCAACGAGGAGGCAGTGGAGATGCTGGGAGAAGCTTTGCCCCACATCAAGAAGCTCTACGATATCACACAGGAACTTTACAGCCAGCACAAACTCCTGGACCTCCCGTAGCAGAGCGGATCCCCACAATCAAGTGGTTCTCTGAATGCCACAGACGAAAAAGCAAGCATCGATCGTACATCTCATGCTTATCCATTTCCAGGCCTGCTTGGTGCCATGAGCTAGCTCTCTGCTTCTCAGCTCTCTCCTATAAATCAGGTTTCTTATTGCTGGAATCATTTGAGCCTTCAAACCATCCCTATTCTGGGTTTAATCAGCCAGATATCCGGAGAAACAGAACTGGCCCCAGTTCCTCTTTGACTGCGGTGGGGAGCCTACAGCCTTTCAGATGTTCTTGGGCTCCAACTCCCAACCACTGGGCTGGGGCTCATGGGAGTCAGAGTCCAAGAACATGCTTGAACTACAACTCCTATCATCCCTGATGGCTGGCCATGCTGGCTGGGGCTGATGGGATTTGGAGTCTCCCCCCAAAAAACCCAAACCCCTGATCTAAGAAGAAGCATTCCCCACTCTCAGGAGTCAATGAATGCCTCTTCCAAATAGAGACCATCCTCCATTTCTCCTTTGCCGTAGGGAATGCTGCTCCTATAGTCGGGGTGAGGAACCTGTCAGCCTTCCAGATGTAGCTGGACTCCAGCTCCCATCATGCCTGACCATTTGGCTGTGCTAGCTGGGGGGTTGATGGGAGCCCAGCAACATCTGCAAGGCCGAAGGCTCGCCACCGTTTCATCACATGGTTTTTAAGGCTACAGTCTTCCCCAATGTGTACGGGAGGTAAACCTGCTTAAGCAATGAATGTACTTAATCGCAGGGGGATGGATGAGGACCTGGAAGCAGGGGTCTCCCTGGCCTCCCTGCCAATCAACCCTGGTTTTGTTTAATCAAGGTGCAACTGTATCCCCTCCACCCTTCAGATCGAATTAAGCTTTAAAGGGGAAAGGGGGGCTTTTACAGTGGACTGATGTATATACCTGTTTCGATGACCATGTGACAAGGGGAAGACTTTAGGGGCAAGATTGCTCAGGATTGCCATGATACATATGTCTGCAGGGAGAATCCCACCGGGGTTCTATTGAGCCCTCCCTTCCACACACAGATGCAGGTAATGCACCCACAAACCTGAAGCCTTTCAGGGCATCACATGCAGATCCCTACTAGCCTGTGACTCCCTCTACCCAGACTCCTCCCACTCTTGAGCATGAACAGCCTGTGGGGTTTGGGATAGGGGCAATGGGTGCAAAAACAGGGTCCTTTCATCAGTCACCAGCCAGGCATGTTGCTGAGCATTTAGTATACCCAGCTGAGGGGCAGCACTGTGTGGGTATGCAGGGACAAATAAGAATTCAAAGTGGGGAGGGAGCGGAATCTCCTTCCATACACACAGGGGAAGGCAAAGATATTGCACACTGCTACAATCCGGAAATCAACAATCTTTAGCATGCTGGAAGTGGGAACAATCTCCCTAGTAAGGGTGGGGGACCTGTGGACACCCCCCCCAAAATGTCAGTGTCTTGTGCAAGCCACCTAGAAGTTTTGTTTTGAGTGGTGTATACACAACTTCTAAATAAGTGAATGAAACATATCTGGAGAACCACTGGATCCCCACCCCTGATGAAACCGAACTCCTGAACCATCTTCACACCTCTTCTCTCCCCGTCATTCTCTCTCATGACAAGACTGTTCACTTAGAAAAGCTTTTTGGTTTTTTTAAAGTCACTGTGAGTTTCGAACTTGCATAAGGCTGTTGACCACGCCTTTGGCTTGAAGACAATCATACCTGTGTTTTAAACGTGGCGTTATTATTTTGGGGCCGTGATACGCTGTTATGTTAAGATTCCTTTCATGTTACAAATCAATCATACCTGTCTTTTTAAAGTGGTATTATTATTTCTGGATCACGATATGCTGTTATGTTAAGACTCCTTTCTGGATACAAATGAGTCATGTATCTATGGTGCTCTCATGTTTCCTGCCTCATATGATTTCTAAACTATCAATGCCTTTGTGGTGGTGGGGAGATGTGGGGGCACAATGAAAGTATTTGCACTTATGGCACTGTTTACTCCATGCATGCACTGTGATTTGTCTATATAGATATAGATATGTATTTACCTCTTATATTGCTTGGGTTCAAATAATCATCTGTCCTGTATATACATGGTGGTGTCCTCAATTTCAGTCCTGATGGCCGCATAGGAATTTTTCACGGTTCTGCCACAAACAAGGTGCTCTAATAATAATAATAATAATAATAATAATAATAATAATAATAATAATAATTTATTATTAATACCCCGCCCACCTGGCTGAGTCTCCCCAGCCACTTTGGGCGGCTTCCAGTCAAGTGTTAAAAACAATACAGCATCAAATATTAAAAGCTTCCCTAAACAGGGCTGCCTTCAGATGTCTTTTAAGGAGAAGATAGCTGCTTATTTCCTTCACATCTGAAGGGAGGGCGTTTCACAGGGCAGGCGCCACTACCGAGAAAGCCCTCTGTCTGGTTCCCTGTAACCTCACTTCTCGCAATGAGGGAACCACCAGAAGGCCCTCAGCGCTGGATCTCAGTGTCCAGGCTGAACGATGGGGGTGGAGACACTTCTTCAGGTATATAGGACCGAGGCCGTTTAGGGCTTTAAAGGTCAGCAGCAACACTTTGAATTGTGCTCGGAAACGTCCTGGGAGCCAATGCAGATCTCTTATGCAGCAGAAGGCCCTTAATGAGACCCAAAAGCCTCCCCCTAAATCATAACCTCCCCGCATCCCATTAGCAAACAGTTGCTAATGGCAGCAGCACCATTAGGACCTTAATTCATGGCCCCACAGCCGGGGGAATAGCAGCAGGGGGACACAGACCACAAACAACAACCACAGACTTTCAGATGGTGGGGGAATGACAGCGTGGCAGGAAACAAACACAGTGTTATCACCTGACACAGGTATATCAAAGCTGATGCCTGTTGCCATGACATGAGAGGGGGCCATAGATCAACGACAGAGCACCTGCCTTGCATGTGCAAAGTCCCAGTTCAATCCCTGGCATCTCCAGGTGGGGCTGGGAAGGACCCTCAGTCTGAAGCCCTGGAAGCCGGTCAGTGTAGACAATCCTGAGCCAGGTGAACCTGGGGTCTGACTCCGTATAAAGGCAGTTTCCTAAAGTGGGAGTGAAGGAGCAGTAAGCCTTGGCACAACACCTTGCTCCCTCCCAGGAAAGGGTTGGGGAACCTTTTGGAGCCCAAGGGCCACATTCCCTTCTGAGTCAGGGGCAAAAGAATTAGGATAGTTTCTGCACACACACCTATTATTATTATTATTATCCTCTGTCCAGGCACACCAAAGGTCAAGGATGCATTCCAGCCAGGCAAATACACCTGCGGAGGATGTGAAGCAGGGCCACTGAAGGATGTGGCCTTGGGAGAGATCCAAGGGCCAGGTAGAGAGGCCTGGAGGGCCACATTCAGCCTCCAAGCTTGAGGTTCCCCACCCCGAAGTGGTAAACCATAACTAATGGTTTGTTGCAAACACAAGAGCTAGCTCCCTGCAAGCGAGCAAAAGCAACAAACCACAAGCCTTGGTATAGTGTTGCCTCTGAACCAGGGACTGGTTTGTTTTACTCCCTTAGCCCTGTGGTGCAGCGCAGACCAGGCCCTGAGGCACAGGCAGAGGAAGGGTTGGCGTGTCAACAGCTGGGGGGAGAGAGAGAGAGAGAGAGCATGGGGTTCTCTATGGGTGGCATCGAGGCCCACCCCCAAATCTGGGACCAGTACCCAACCTTTCCCCAACAGCGGTTCCGAAAGTTGTTTGATCCAATGTAGGAATGCAGATATCCAGAGTGTGGGGTCAGGTGGGATTCTATGAGGAATTATAAAATGTGCATCAAGCCATTGTGTCCACGATGAATGCATTGGGTTTGATATATTGACAATAATTTCTGATCAAATCCCACAGCCCTCTGCATCTCTGGCCATTTCCTCTACTGTTCCATTTATCTTTCATGACCAGTCACGTACACTGCCAGTTGCTTCGCCAGGCAGGTATCCTGGGTCATCAAAGACAGTGGGCAGTTTCTTTGATGTAGCTTTTCTGATATGTTAATCCCAGGATGTTAATCTGGTTTCACTTGAAGGTGATAATGATCGCTGTCTTCCTGGCCATCCTTATATGTATATTGCTTGTTTATCACCTCCAGGGGTTGCCAAATGCACTTCTTTGTAGTTCTGTTTTATTTACCCCATGCTTAATTAGTTTTGGTAGTTTAGCTTTGTCCCCACGTGGGGTTTGTTGAAATGCTCAGAAGAAATCTGATTGGTTCTTACGAACACTCTGTAAAAGTTCTTTTGTGAATAAAACGACCCGGGCCGAGGGGTGGAGAGGGAGGCATAGATTATTATACACACCCTTCCCAGAGTCTTGCTGGTTCAAGCCTCTGTGTGTATTCTTATTAATCAGAGTTCAATCCTTCCTTGGCTTTGGGAACACCTCAATCCAAAAGCAAGGAACGCCCAGCACCTGCTTGCAAAAAACCAGGAACCTCTCAAGACCACCCTGTTTGAATAAATCCCTCGTGGCAGGGAGGGCCAGATTGCAGAGGGGCCCAACTCAACAGAATGCCGCAGAAGATTTGGTTAGCACGGGTGGCTAGCTATGGCTTCTTCCACACCTAAACTGCTCATGCAGTGTGTGCTTTGCTAAACAAATTCTCTCAGGCTGCTTCCCACCTGCTGTAAATTTTATTGAACAAAACATTTGGCTTTCTAAGGGGCTCCCCTGCGTCATTCGAAGTTAGGCTGTCCACACACAGACCAGTCTCAGAAACAGCCAAGAGACATGTCTGTTTTCTTCCTGCTCAGCCTCGGTCTGGATTGGGCCCAGGCCCAGAGCTATCACTGCATGTCTTCCCAGTTTAGAAGACCCGGAGACTACATACTGGGCGGCTTGTTCCCTTTCACGGTGCTCACCTCCAACCTGACGGAACGGACCCTGCCTGACATTTACAACTGTGAGAGGTAAGGCAGCAAAAATGGCAAGGACGTAGCGATGGTTGGGGAGGTGGCGATGCAGAAACCCCTGCCTTGCGTGCGGCTGGACTTAACTGAATGAAGAGTTACTTCCATTGCTCCCCTCCCTTTTGCTGCTGGCCACCCCCAGCCCATGGCCCCTACGCACCCTCAGGGCTGAAAGAATATCAGATTAATTGTCAATGAGAAACTGTGGAGTAGATTTGAATGCTGTCCCCAATTAACTAGGCAGCTTTTTAAAGTAAAATTATTAAAAATGCAAGTGTCAACAAGACCTTCCTGAAGACTTTCCTTTTTTCCAATGAGTCTTTTAAGTTGATTTCTTTCCCTGTATCAGAATCATTTTTAAGATTGTTCTTCAATGTCATAATAAAAGCAAAGACTGGGAATGGGAGTCGCTTTCTTAAGCTGGGAATTCCCCCCCCCCCTTCTCACACATTTATACATTTAGGGTTTTGCTATTCTCTGAAACCTTATTTGCAAGTGTTTTAAGGGTCTTGTAAGCTGCCTCGGGAGGGCAGGGGGCCCTGAAAGGTTAAAAACAAAAACAAAAGTTGGCAAGGTGAAGGAAGGAGAGGGTCAGACTGTGCCTTGGCCAAAGGCCTGGTGGAACAGCTCTGTCTTGCAGGCCCTGCAGAAAGATGTCAAGTTCCGCAGGGCCCTAGTCTCTTGTGACAGAGCGTTCCACCAGATCGGAGCCACGGCCGAAAAAGCCCTGGCTCTGGTTGAGGCCAGCCTAACCTCCCTGTGGCCCGGGATCTCCAAGATGTTTTTATTTGAAGACCGTAAGGTCCTCCATGGGACATACCAGGAGAGGTGGTCCTGTAGGTACGAGGGTCCTATGCCGTATAAGGTTTTAAAGGTTAAAATCAGCACCTTGAACCTGATCCTGTACTCCACCAGGAGCCAGTGCAGCTGGTATAGCACTGGGTGAATGAGATCCCACGGCGAAGACCCCGTAAGGAGTCTCTCCGCGGCATTCTGCACCCACTGGAGTTTCTGGGTCAGTCTCAAGGGCAACCCCATGTAGAGTGAGTTACAATAATCAAGTCTGGAGGTGACTGTTGCGTGGATCACAGTGGCTAGGTCAGGGCAAGAGAGGTAAGGCGCCAACTGCTTAGCTTGGGGGGGATGAAAAAATGCCGCCTTTGTTATAGCTGCGATCTGCACCTCCATGGAAAGGGAGGTGTCGAAGATTACACCCAAACTCTTAACGGATGGTGCTGGCACTAATTGTGCCCCCACAAGAGATGGGAGTTGCCCTCCCCCCAATCCCATATTGTCCCAACCCAGCCAAAGGACCTCTGTCTTCGAAGGATTTAACTTCAACCGGCTCCCATGTAACCATCCAGCCTATGTAATACAGGACAGGAAGAAAAGGAGCAGCAATTCAGTTATGCTTAAGAGCTCTGACCAGCCTCAAACAGACTGATTAAAAGTGGATGTAAACCCAAAAGCCTTCAGAGACAGCCAGTGTGCTGCAGAGATTAGAGTGCTGGGCTAGGACGTGGGAGACGAGAGTTCAAGTCCCAGCTCAGGCATGAAACTCGCTGGGTGTGTCCCTGGGACAGTTGCTGCCTCTTGGCCTGACCTACTTCCCTGGGTTGTTGTGAGGATTAATTGGGAAAGGGAGAGGTGAACCATGGACTCCGCCTTGAGCTCTTTAGAAAGAAAGGTGAGGTATAAATTCAGTAAATAAATATACAGTGCCCATTTAAAAACAATCAACCCCTTCCGCCTACCCATATCCGTGCCCCCAACCCACATTGTTAAATAAATAAATATTTATTATTATTATTTATACCCCGCCGTTCCTGGTTCAGAAAACCGGGCTCAGGGCGGCTAACAACAAATTTAAAACAATTGACACAAGAAAAAAAACAGCATAAAATACAGTATAAAATGTGAATAATAATAAATTCAGAATTCAAAAATCAATTTAGGGGGGAAATCCATCCAATAAACATTAGGTGATCACCAGGGCTAGCTGTCTAAATTAGTCCTATTTGGGCCAGCGGGGAGACCAGGGGAGAATTAGCTGTGGGATCCCAGAGCGGGTAATCTTCATAAAAAGGGGAGGTGGAGGGAAGGAAGGGGGATAAAAGATCAGGCTAAGTTCAAATTGAAAGCCAGGTGGAATAGCTCTGTCTTACAGGCCCTGCGGAAGGAAGTTAAATCCCGCAGGGCCCTGGTCTCATGGGACAGAGAATTCTACCAGGTGGGAGCCATCACTGAGAAGGCCCTGGATGGGTCCCTAGTCACTCTGGAGAGAGGCATTTTAGGGGGTCACGGGTAGTGGCAGGAGGATAGAATCTTAGAGTTGGAAGGGACTCCAAGGCTCATCTAGTCCAACCCCCGGCAGTGCAGGAATCTCAGCTAAAGCATCCCTAGACAGATGGCCACCCGTCCTCTGCTTGAAAACCTCCAAGGGAGGAGAGTCCACAACCTCCTGAGAGAGACTCTTTCACTGCCGAACGGGGAAAAGAGGGGACCAGTAGCTTGCCATCCATCAGTTATCTCAAGCTAACATCCCCATTCGCCTCCTCGGCCAAAAGCAGAAGGGCACAAATTGTGCAGGGGCAGGGCCACCCCTGAAGCTCCCGGGCATGTCTTTGTGCACCTTCCTGCAATCAGGAGCCCACTCAGGGGAGCGTCTAAAGGCAAGCCGGTGTGCTCCTGATCAGGGTTCCAGCCAGCCACCTAGGCTGTCTTCCAGGATGCTCTGTTCCACGCACTTACCCCAGTTTTATTAAACGTTTACAGTTTAACAGCGTTCCCTGCTTACTTGGTTGTTGCACATGTGTTGGGGCAAGCAGGGACGTTGCCTCCTTCGGGGGTCTCTCTCCCCCCTCCAATGAGCACTTCTGTACTTCTGCGCACTCTGGGGTTTCCCCCCAAGCCTCTGACCCCTTTTGCATGGGGGTGGTGCAGTTTGGGCTATGTGAGAGATCGGCACTCAACCCTGCGTGTTGCCAATAGAGGGAGAGAGACTGCCATCCCCCCTGTTCTGTCCTCTGTCCCCCAGGCTTTATGCTGCCGGTCTGGTCTGGGCCCTTGGGATGAAGATTGCCATTGAGGAGATCAACAACTCCACCACGCTGCTGCCAGGGATCCGCCTTGGCTATGATATCTACGACACCTGCATGGAACCGGTGGTCACCCTCCAGCCCAGCCTGCTCTTCCTGTCCAGAGCAGGCACAAACAGCATCGGGATCCTTTGCAACTACACGGACTACCAGACCCGGGTGACGGCTGTCATCGGGCCTCACGACTCAATGCTCTCTTCGGTGACAGCCAAGCTGTTCGGCTTCTTCCTGATCCCGCAGGTAGAATAACCGTAAGAGCAAATGACACCCTCGTGAGAATAATAGTACCGTATTTTTTACTCTATAAGACTCAAATTTTCCCTCCTAAAAAGTAAGGGGAAATGTGTGTGCGTCTTATGGAGCGAATGCAGGCTGCGCAGCTATCCCAGAAGCCAGAACAGCAAGAGGGATTGCTGCTTTCGCTGCACAGCGATCCCTCTTGCTGTTCTGGCTTCTGAGATTCAGAATATTTTTTTTCTTGTTTACCTCCTCCAAAAACTAGGTGCGTCTTATGGTCTGGTGCGTCTTATAGAGCGAAAAATACAGTAATAATAATTTATTATTTATACCCCGCCCATCTGGCTGAGTTTCCCCAGCCACTCTGGGCGGCTTCCAATCAAGTGTTAAAAACAACACAGCATTAAATATTAAAAACTTCCCTAAACAGGGCTGCCTTCAGATGTCTTTTAAAGAGAAGATAGCTGCTTATTTCCTTCACATCACAGGGCAGGCGCCACTACCGAGAAGGCACCAGTGAGGCCCACCGCAAAATGTTGCAGCGTAAAACGCACCTATTCCATGTTTCAGGGTTGTCTCCAAATAAGGCCTACTCATTCATTCAATAGGTTTATTTGTTCTAGCCAAAGGACATGGCCATTAGGTCGAAGCAGCGTTTCTCAAACTTGGGTGCCCAGCTGTTGTTGGACTACAACTCCCATAATCCCTAGCTAGCAGGACCATTGGTCAGGGATGATGGGCATTATAGTCCAACCCAAATTTGAGAAACACTGCATTAAAGTTCACCCAGATACCAACATAGCAATAATATAGCGAACATCAGTAATAGAAAACAAGAAAAATCAGAAGTACCATCGGCTATCCCAACTTCAGATTAAACCTCAGAGTCCCCAGAACAATTTACAGCAATGTTCTCTACCTCTCTCTTTCCTGCAACCAGTGGAAAAAGAGCCACTTTACGGGTCACAAAGTTTTTAGTGGCCTGCAAAACAAACTGCCCTGTTTCATCCATGGTATTCCCGCTTCCATACATCAACAAAGGTTTCAAAATCTTGGATCCGGGTAGACCCATTGGAATTAATGGAGCTAAGTTAACCATGTGCATTAATTGCAGTGGGTCTAACTTTGAGTAGGTCTGGCATCGGCGCAAGCTCCCAAGCTGAACTTTTATACCCACTTATCTTGGAGTTGGGCTGGGAGGGAAATGTGATCCGACTGCTCAGACTGAAACACAGCCACCTTTTGCAATACACACTTGGAACAAATGTTGCAATCGAGTTCTCCAGGCAAGCAACAAGTGCAAAAGTGCACGTGCTAGGATCAAGTGTGCCTAAGAATGCATAAATCAGTGAAAATAGCATTCTATTAGGGGAACAGGCTTTGCAAAAAATTGTGTACGAGGCAAAACTGCATCCAAAGATAACTTTGTTACAAAAAATGCAAAACTAAAATGCTTATGAATTTCCATTAGGATTTTTTAAAAAATCAGATGGATGTGGAAATGTGGAGAACTGAAATTAAGCTTGGGTGTGGGGAAGAGAAATGGAAAGAAACTGAAATTAACATGATTCACTTGTTCCTATCTTGGGGTGAGACATTATGAACTCTGTGGGTTCTTTTGGCAGTCAACTCAACTGTGCCTCCCCCCCTTTCCTTCCTTCCTTTGGGAGTCCCACAAAATTGGGGGGGCAGGTTCCTGACCCTGGGCCCACACGAATCCAAACCTGCAAGAGTGCTAACGCCTTGTCAGGGACCCTACTTATCCATACATCTGCTTAGCCCTCTCCTTCATATGGTTTCAGAAGGCTGTAGAAGGCAAAGGGGCCTTTATTTTTGTTGGAATGGCCAACTGGTGCAACTGGATTAGAACAGCCTTCCCCAGATAGGGGCCCTCCAGACATTTTGGACTGCAACTCCCATGATGTAATGATTTTATTGATAAAAAGAGTAATAAGAAGCTTTGCCACTATTCTGTGTACAAAAGCACATGGTTTCAGTTATGCACTTTCTTAGACATGACTTAGACATGGACTGTGGTCCATATAAACACTCTACCCTTCTAAATATACCCAAGCTAAATCCTCCCTCGCCATTTATCCCAAAACAATAACAACACTGATCCTACTTTCTCTCACTAACCCTGACACAAACCTTCCGAACACTCCTACCCCAACTGATGGGAATTGCAGCCCCAAATATATTGAGGGCACAAGCTTAGCTGAGTCCAGATTACATGACGGGAAATGCGTTAATGTGTTGTACCCAACCAACTTCTGCTTTAGACCAGACCCACTGGAATTAATGGATCTCAGTTTGTCATGTCCATTAACTTCAATGGGTCTCCTCCATGTAGTATGATTGGACACAGCTCATTAATAGGGTATTGCTTGACATTCAATGTGGTTTTTAATTGTTTTTATATGCTGTAAGCCAGTGATGGCCAAACTTGGCCCTCCAGCTGTTTTGGGACTACAACACCCATCATCCCTAGCTAACAGGGCCAGTGGTCAGGGATGATGGGAACTGTAGTCCCAAAACAGCTGGAGGGCCAACTTTGGCCACCACTGCTGTAAGCAGCCATGGGGAGTTGGTCTCTTTGGAATGGCGGCCTGCAAAGTCACCAAATAAATTAAAAATTGGTACAATTGTGGTCTTCAGATCAGCTATGGAGCCACCATGGAGGCCCTGAACAATGAGGAGCTGTATCCCTCTTTCTTGCGGACTGTGCCCAGCGACAAGAGACAGCTGGAAGCCATGGTCCAGCTCCTGCAGGCTTTCAAGTGGAATTGGATCGCGGTCATTGGCAGCAACGATGAATATGGGCGTGGAGGCCTCAGCCTTTTGTCGTCCATGGTGGCCAGCAAACAGATCTGCATCGCCTTCGAGGGGCTGATCCCAGCCGATGTGTCCAACCCGAGCCTCCAAGTGAAGATGAGGCAGACGATCCAGTCGATCAACGAGTCCAAAGTCAACGTCATCGTCCTCTTCGCCAGCGACCGGCCTGTCCGGGCTTTCTTCAAGCTGTGCTTGGAGCTGAAGCTGAGCCAGAAGGTGTGGTTGGCCACCGAAGCCTGGGTGATGTCAGACGTGGTCACCTCTGTGGACAAGATCCAAGCCATTGGGACAGTCATCGGCTTCGTCATAAAGGGGGGGACAGTCCCTGGCTTCGAGGAGTACGTCTACAGACTTTTAGAGCTGACCCAAGAGGACGGCTTCTGCAACACATCCCAGGAGGAAGTGGACAAGATGGACTCCGATGTCCTGGGACCGCAATGCTGGCAATGCAACTACATCTCTCGCCGAAACATCACTGCGGTGCTCAAGCACCGGCAGACGTACGCTGTCTACACCGCAGTGTACAGTGTGGCTCACGCACTCCACAACTTGTTGTGCTCCCAGAGAGGGACGTGTCATAAGGGTAACATCAAATCTTGGGAGGTAGGCGAGAGGCAGTCAGCTGCCCATCGACTGATAATACAGTGAGGCCTGGTGACCTGTTTTCGCCCGCGTGGTTTGAAATTGTTATTATTTATTATACTTTTTAGTAACACAAAACAACTTAACAACAATAACTAGCACATGCATTAACATCAGCTTATAACCAAACAATCTCAAACGCATTCATATTTTCAAAAGCCAGTATTAAAACATCCCACCCTCTGAAGGAGGCCACAGATCGTTAAAAGTCAAAGGCCTGGAAGAAAACAAATGTTTTTGCCTGGTGCCTAAAGATAGGAGATGATGGCGCCAGGCAAGCCTCCCTGGGGGGAGAATTCCACAAGCGGGGAGCCACCACTGAAAAGGCCCATTCTCATGCTGCCACCCTCCAGACCTCCTGTGCACATGGGAGCACATGGAGAAGGGCGTCATACGGTGATCACAGAATCAGATTGGTTCATATGGGGAGATGCGGTTCTTTGTGGTATTGAGGTCCTGGGTCTTTCAAGGCTTTATAGGTCAAAACCAGCACCTTGAATTGGCAGCCAGAAACTGATTGGCAGCCGGTGCAGTTGGGCCACGATTGGCGTTATATGCTCAAACTGTCTTGCTCCGGTGAGCAACCTGGCTGCCAAATTCTGCACCGGCTGCTGTCCATTACATGACTTGGCCAAAACAACCTTTGGATCAAACAGGGAATGGGTTTGCTTAATTAGGCCCAAGGGCCAGAGGTCCCCCAACCTGCCCTAAAATCTTCCTGGCAATGGGTTAATGCCCTCAAGCACACCCGAGAACAGCAGGGCAGCTTACGAGCCACAGGGCAGGCTGAGTGGCACATACAGCTTTGTCCTGCCACACTTTGCCACCTGATATGGCTGCCTTCCTTTGGCTAACAGTAGGGCCAGCCTTGCAGAGAATTAGTTAGTGCAGGCAAGGGGACATGGGATTAGGGGTCCAAGGGTGGGGGGACATGGGAGTTAGCACAGGACCCACCCACAGCCACCTTTTCCTTCCATCCAGCTGCTGGACAAACTGAAAGACGTCCATTTCAACATCTCCAACCAGTTGCACCATTTCGAAGACTACGGCAGCATCAACCTCGGCTATGAGGTCATTGGCTGGAGGTGGCAGGACAGTGGGATTGAGCACATCACCCTTGGGAACTTCAACACAAAACTGAACCTCAATACATCCTTGGTCCAGTTTCACACAGAGGATGGAAAGGTAAAGAGAGAGGGGGAGGAATGCAACAAAGGAGTACAGTAAAGCGAGTGATCTCTTTGCTTGCTTCCCACCCACAAATGTCCCCACACGAATTATCTGCCTGACCTATTTGTTTCTCAAAGTTTTATCCTGCCATTCCTCCAAGGCAACAAGCTAGATATGCTAAGGCTGTGTGCCCAACATGTATTTAAAACATGATCCCCACTCCCCAAATAATTCTGAAAATGGTAGCTTACCCCTCAGCACCCATAAAAAACTCAGCTACAATCCCCAGCACCCATAACTAATGACAGTTCCCAGGATTCTCATTTGGGGTGTGTGTGTGATTTAAATTCGTGGTGTGCATGCAGGCCAGATAAAATTAATTTGTCCAGACACGGGAACACAGGAAGCTGTCCTATACTGAGCCAGAAAAGTTCAGTATTTGTCTGCACTGACAGACCTTAAGGTCTTAAGGTTGTGGGTTCGAGATTCACGTGTTGTGGAAAGTTGGACCAGATGATTCTTGGGATCCTGTCCAACTCTATGGTTCTTTGATCCAGGATTTCAGCTTGATCCGAGTTGTTCTGAGTCCTCCCTGGGGGTTGAACCTGTGGCCTTTTTGCATGCAAAGCAGATGCTCTACTACTGAGCTATGGCCTTTCCCCCAGGTAGGGGGAGCAGGAAGATGGAGGGGAGAAGGAATGGTATAAGCAGAGAACAAGGGCGAAAGATGAGCAAAGGGAACAGCAAGAGAGAAGGAAAAGAAGATAGCTTTGCAGGAGGTAGACATTTCATGCTAACATTGGTCGCTCTCCCTTCTGCTTAGGCTCCCATCTCTGAGTGCCTTACGACATGTCAGGCTGGGCAGATCCGTCGGATGAAAGGGTTCCACCTCTGCTGCTACGACTGCATTGACTGCGAGAAGGGCACTTATTGCAGTTCTCCAGGTGAGAAGGATTGGGGCCTTGGGGTGACTTCCCTGCGTCACACTCAGAGGTCGCAGAGAATTCTGACAGGTATATGAGCAGCAATTGCTGGTGTTCATTTATCCACCCCGTATCCAGAACGGAAATCAATCCAGCAGATTCTATTGGTATTTGCTTGTTGTTTTTGGTCTGCAAACGGTACATAATTGGCAATGCCCCCTTTGCATTGAAATGAATGATGTGGAACAACATAATTCATTGTGTAATCAATTATGACATTCATTGGTTAAGTAAAATTCTGCCACAGCAGTTGGGGATACGAGACGCATTCATTTGTGTTGCAAGCAGAACGGCAGCAGAACAGAAACAGCCTTGCATGTGATGTAAATGGGTTGGAAGAGAAATTGATTCCTTCTTTACATCCCTAGCTACAGTCATTGTATACAGGGACAGCAGCTCTCGGTGAGAGGAGATGGGGGTGGACAGCTCGGTTTATTCCTGATCTGTGTCAGTTCCACATTTGTTCATTCCTGAGTCGGCTCCACCCCACTTCTGCATTAATCTGCTCAAGTTTTCGGTAAAAAAAATAAGGTTGTATTAAATACTTATCTTTCTCACCCAAACCACTGCTACTGGTCAAAATAGATGCTTTCCATGAAACCAAAAACTTGACTCCAGTTAAAATTTCACTCCCCACCTGGATAAAATGGTTTCACCACCATAGGAAGCTGCCTCATACAGAGCCAGACCATTGGCTCCATCTGATGCTGTACAATCTACACTGACTGGCAGCAGCTGCCCAGGGTTTTAGACAAGGGACCTTTCCCTGGGCTATGTGGAGATGCCAAGGCTTGAACCTGGGACCTTCTGCATGCAAAGCTGGTGTTCTACCACTGAGTTACAACCTTCCTCTTAAAATATTGGTACAGAGAAAGCTGTATTATATAGAGTCAGACCATTAGCTCTTTTAGCTCAGTCTACCCTGACTGGAGTGGGACACGGGTGGCGCTGTGGGTTAAACCACAGAGCCTAGGACTTGTCGATCAGAAGGTCGGCGGTTCGAATCCCCATGACGGGGTGAGCTCCCGTTGCTCGGTCCCTGCTGCTGCCAACCCAGCACTTTGAAAGCATGCCAAAGTGTAAGTAGATAACTGGGTACCACTCCGGCGGGAAGGTAAACAGCATTTCCATGCGCTCCTCTGGTTCGCCTGAAGCGGCTTAGTCATGCTGGCCACATGACCTGAAGGCTGTACGCCGGCTCCCTCAGCCAATAAAGCGAGATGAGCACTGCAACCCCAGAGTCGGCCACGACTGGACCTAATGGTCAGGGGTCCCTTTACCTTTACCCTGACTGGATCCGCACTCCAGGGTTTCAAGCAGGAGTCTCACCCGGCTCTACCGACAGAGGATGCAAATGCAACCTGGGAGCTGCTCTGGCCCTTCCCCAGGAGGACACCCCCTTGCTTGCAAAATGTACAGCTGCCTCCCTGCTCTTTTACAGAGGACACAACCTGTACCGCCTGCCCCACAGAACAGTGGTCCCCTGGACGCAGCACACGGTGTTACGACCGCAGCGAAAAGTATCTGTTCTGGTCCGAGCCTCTGGCCATCATCTTGGTAGCCTTGCTGATATTTGCGGTGACTCTCACCTGCCTCTCGGGGTCCCTGTTTCTGAGGAGCCTCCACACCCCCGTGGTGCAGGCCGCCGGGGGAGCCATGTGCCTCGTGGGCCTCCTCTGCCTGGCCCTCATGTGCCTCAGCTGCGGCCTCTACATCGGCAAGCCCAGCCCGACCGTCTGCCTGTTGCAGCAGCCCTCCTTCGCCTTGTGCCTCAACCCTTGCTTCTCCACCATCACGGCCAAGGCCCTCCAGATCATGCTGGTGAATGACTTTGCAAGCAGCCGCCGCGGTTTCCTGCACAACCTGATCCAGAGGCGGCCGTGGGCCATCGTGGCCTTGTGCTTTCTGGGTGAAAGCGCCCTCTGCCTTGGGTACATCTATGTCAACCCGTCCACTCCGGGCAAGAACTACAAGCTCTTGGCCACCCAAGTCCTCATCCAGTGCAGGATAAAGTCCTGGGCTGCCTTCGCCATCATGCACGGGAACAACAGCCTCCTGGCCTTCACCTCGTTCCTCTGCACCTTCATGGTGCAGACGTCTCCCAAGAAGTACAACATCGCCCGCAGCATCACCTTCGCCATGCTCACTTACTTCATCGCCTTGATCTTCTTCATCCCCACCTACGCCACCGTGGGGCTAGAGTACCAGCCCGCCGTGCAGGTGAGTGCCATGCTCCTGTGTGCTACAGGGCTGCTTGCGGCTTATTACCTCCCCAAGTGCTACATCCTGCGTTTCAAGCCGGACTGGAACACGGTGGACTATTTCCAAGATTACACCAAAGAGGCGACGCAGGAAAACGACCCCAAAAATTAGGGGTCGTAGCCGATGCTAGTCCTACCCACACAGGGAACCCGCTGAAGTTAAGGGGCATGGCTAACTTAGGCCTGGTCAGTTCAGTGGGTCTACTTTGAGGAGGACTTGGTCGGAGGCAACCCAAGCAGAAGTCTCTGAAGCAGGAAGGGAAGTCTCTCCTTTGATGGGGTTAACAGTGGCACTTATATCGCTGCCCTAGTATAGAAGCTTTTATTGGTGCGTGTTTTTATTTTGTTGGGTTGGACGTAGATACGGATTTGTCTTGATGGGATAGACTCGTTAGAGAGGCCTTGCATTCTAGTCCTCCTGCTCAGGGTTGGCAAGCCAGAGTTAGAGATGGGGAAAGAGTTAGAGATGGGAAAATCCACAAACAACAAAAATGCCTTCTCTACCCTTTCTTCTTAGCCCCAGGGGATCATTGCAGAACACTCATGCAATGTTGGACTGGAACCTATATACATCTCACAGAGATGGCTTACTCACAGTAGTCTCCAACCCTGTCCTATTCTGCTCCGTGAATGGGAAGCTGCCTTAGCATCTATGCATGGCATTTCGTTAGATTTGAAACAGATTGCTTCAAAGCCAACAAAAACTATGTTTAAGGTGTACCTTTAACCTAGCGCCTTTACAGAAAGGAGCTGCCTGCTTCAGATAGATGCTGGCAATTAAATCTTCTTTCGAAGCATATAATTTGGGCCTTGCTTAGTGGTGTCTTATGTCTAGTTAGAAATCATTGTCCATGTTGCAGGAAAAAGCCTCTTGAATTATATCCCTGTAACGTGGAGACTAATGGATTGACAACAGAGGTAGAGATTTTATGGTGGCCAACAGATTAAGGGTTGTCTCCAACGTTGGACTTACTCAGAGGGGACCCACTGAAATCAATGGGCACAGCAAACCTAGGTGCACTAATTTCAATGGGTCTACTCTGAGTAGGACATCATTGGAGGTTGGTTTTTTTTAAGACTGCAAGGACAAACATTCCTGCATCCACTGCTCCGTGCTGAGAAGGTCTCCCTGCACTTAGCTTACATTCGTCAAATCTAGTTTAAGATGTTTATTTGGACATATGGACTGTCTTATTGATTTATACATATAAACTGGGATTGGTGGGATAGTCTTACTGTTAATGTCGGCTGGCAGTGTTTTTTTACCTCTTTCTGTTACATTTGCAAATAAAAAACACATTTAAAAGAGAAGTTGTCTTTATACCTAATCAGGGCTGTGCCAAGTACAGTGGTACCTCAGGTTACATACGCTTCAGGTTATATACTCCGCTAACCCAGAAATAGTACCTCGGGTTAAGAACTTTACTTCAGGATGAGAACAGAAATTGTGCAGTGGCAGCGGGAGGTCCCATTAGCTAAAGTGGTGCTTCAGGTTAAGAACAGTTTCAGGTTAAGAACACACCTCTGGAATGAATTAAGTACTTAACCCAAGGTACCACTGTAGCTACACACCCCATCATTGCACCTACTGCCACAGTTAGCTACACTGGTTAGTGAGCTCTGATCCACAAGTATTACATTTACGTGTATGGATGTTCTATCTAAAACTATTTGCTGATGAAGATTCATCTTCGAAACTGTTGATTCAATCCGGATATACTGTCTTGGACATCATCCACTGAAAGGCGTCATGGTGTTCCCCGCCAGCAATTCATTTGGTTGACTACTTCTTGATTATGGACTGATATATATATTATTTTGAAGTTGAGGAGTTGTAAATTTTGGATGACATTCTACTACTATAATAACACAGCTACTATATTCATTAGTCATGTGTTGCGGCTGTATTTGAGCAGATTGACACCCCCCCTGGCATCTGCTCATGTGGGATGGAAGCCTTTGCATCTACAGTTGTATGTGTGAAATAGCTGTGCATCCGGCAGCTCAGCTCATACGTCATACAAGGCTACTAAAGAGTGAGACTAGTCAACAGGTGTGACATTGGAGATGTGGCCATTATGCACTGGGACACACACATGGGAACCTCTGCATTGGGGTGCAGAAGAGTTAAAATTCCCATTCATCAGTGTCAGGGGCTGGACTAAGGAGGAATGGTGGGGACCGCCCCTCTCCTGATCCTTCCCAAAAAGAGGACAGTATAGATTTAGAACAGTGGTTTGCAGAAGGGCATAGTTCAGAGGCTGCAGAGGACAGAAGCTGGGAAATATTGGAAGAGGAACAACAGGAAGAGGAAGAGGGAGGAGGAGGGGAGAGACAGCTGACAGACTCAGTGTCCTTGGAAAGCATTCCTGACCAGGACCAGACAGACATTGAGAGTAGAAGAACAGAGAGCTCAGTGGCAAAAGGCTCAGATTAGCCGATGCAGGACTGGCGTAGATTAGGGGAGACTACATCCCTTTGTCTCACTCTGTGAATACTGAATAAATTACGTGGTAAGGACTTTTCGTGTTATCTGCTTCTTCTTTTTTTTGGCTGCTGCCAGGGGAGGGGTAGTAATCCCTAAGCCTTGACCATCAGTGATGTTCATTTGGGCCAGCCCCCCTCTCTTGTGCCAGACCTATCATGTAAGATTGTTGGAAACATAAAACAGGATAACTCTATACACACTATCTTGGGTGCTTTAAGTGAGCCAGTGGTGTAGCAGTTTGAGTGTCAGATCAGAACCTGGAAGATCTTCATTCGGCCAGCTAGTCACTGTCTCTAAGCCTAACCTACCTCACAGGGCTGCTGTGAGAATGAAGTGGAAGACAGTGAGAGCCTTGTGGGATAGGCAGGATTACATATGTGGTAACTAAAACACATTTTAATAAAATAAGGGAGATGAAATGTTGAAAGAAGATATGGAAAATAGCAATTATATTTTAAAATATGTATTTTGGGGAGGAAGAATCCTAGACATCCTACCCATTATGTTGCCCACATTTGCCACAAACCAGTTGAAACCAGATATGTTTACAGCTTAAAGGCAGCACAAGGGGGCTATTTTCTCACAGAGATTTGAATGCACTGGTTGAATCTCTTTGCAAAGAACATGAAAATGAGACGGGATGGTGAAAATGAGATGGAATGAAGCGAGAAAAGCCTCAGGACACCCTACCCACCATGCAAATAGTTTTGTTTCCAAGTTAAAGCCAATTCACACTCGAAGCCTCAATGGATATGCAAACAAGAGATCAGGAAAGGGGACCAGCGATATCACTGCAAATGACAATTGACACGACAAATTACAGAGTGTTAAGACCACTGAGGACCAACTAAAACACCCCACAGTAGAAGCAAACATCAAGTTATTAAAAAGGTAGCTTTAAAAGAACAAAATACCAAACCTATTACCTCCAGGCTGGGGTTGGGGGGGGGGGCTTGCTTGTTTTGTCCTTACCAGCAGATCCCAGGGTGGGTTACAACTATTTAAAATTCAGAATTGAAAAGGGTTAAAACAGATTTCAGGACTTGGGAATAGGGCGGGTCCTGAAAACACAACATCTCAGGTGTCAAAGAGGCCAGAGTAAAAATATCACTGATGCAGTAACAGTGCATTAGTGGTAAATTTATACCGAACTGTCCACACATCTTTTCACTTTATTAGTTGTTCTGCGATGCTTCCCCAATGCCGCCATATTATGGCCATCTGCAGGGGCAGCTCTTGTGCCATAGTGCAACTTACGTGAAGTGAGTCCTGATATACACATTTGGGCTTGTGCTCTGCCTAATCCATGCATTACTGCTATTCCCCACAATACAATTCATTTTAATGTTATTTTGGCTTATAAAATACGCATTTTTAAACATACTTTCCCTACATAATGTGCACACATTTGTGTGCACTTTATTTCGTTGGAAAACTGTGTAACAAAATTCAGAGAAGTGCAAAACTGTATAACAAAATTTGGAGAAGTGCAAATTTTGACAGACAGCTGTGTTTCGGCTCGTGCACCGTTTCAAAAAGTGTGAATGAAGTAGATGGGCATCAAAACACAAATTTCTCTTCCCCCCAAGTCCCTACCCACCAACACTCACCCACTGCACAGCTTACTGGGACGGGGCAGGGGCAGGATTAACCGACCACAGGTTACAAACAGTTCAGCACTGTAGCATTCGTGCTTGCATGTTTGCATGGCGAGGGCAGATAATATTGTTTCGTTAGCTGGATTTGGCTCATGGGCTGCCAGATGGCCACCCACTGTTTTCAGAACATCATGCAAATGATTCATTTTGCTTATGATTTGATTTAATGGCCTCCACCTGCCCTTTCACGGGGCAGAGTCGCCCAGGTACCATTTGTCATTGCGTTCCTCCGACTACTATTCAAATGCAACATATTCCCAGGCTTTAAAGCCTTTGCCTAGTGGGTATCGCCTCCAAGATCTCCACCCTAGTCAAGCAGGCAAACAGGATCAAACACAAATGGCCAGAGACAGAAGGGCAGAATGCAGCTTCATGGGCTGAAAGTGAGAGCGACTACAGGTATGGATATGAAGCAGAGCAAATAAAGGAAGGTAAGTCTATTCCTCCTTTCTTATGAACTGACTCCATAGGTAAAGGTAAAGGTAAAGGGACCCCTGACCATTAGGTCCAGTCGTGGCTGACTCTGGGGTTGCGACGCTCATCTCGCATTATTGGCCGAGGGAGCCGGTATCTGGGAAACCGCTTCTAAGTCGCTTCTGGGAAACCAGAGCAGCGCACGGAAACGCCGTTTACCTTCCCACCAGAGTGGTACCTGTTTATCTACTTGCACTTTGACGTGCTTTCAAACTGCTAGGTTGGCAGGAGCAGGGACTGAGCAACGGGAGCTCACCCCGTTGTGGGGATTCGAACCACTGACCTTCTGATCGGCAAGTCCTAGGCTCTGTGGTTTAACCCACAGCGCCACCCGCGTCCGAACTGACTCCATAGCCACTTTCAAATAGCTAAAGGGCTGTCACGTGGAAGATGGAAGCACGCTTGTTCTCTCCTGCTCTGGAGGACCCAAGTCAATGGCTTCGAGTTACAAGAAAGGAGATTCTGACTAAACACTTTAGAACTTTCTGACAGTATGAGCTGTTTGACAGTGGAACAGAACTCCCACGAGAGGTGATGGACTCCTCTTCCTCAGAGGTTTGTAAGCAGAGGTTGGGTGGCCACCAATCATGTATAATCTAGTTGAGATTCCTGCATTGCAGGGGGGTTGCGCTGGGTGACCCCCAAGGTCCTTTCCAACTCTACGGTTCTACGAAAAGATCTACAACAAAACATTTTCCTAATACGAAGCGCATTAACCCTCTGTTTTGCAAGGAAAGCTTGTTTGCTTTATCGCGTTTATTACTATTAAATCACTCCATCGTCTCTGCTGTGACAGGCCAGTCCTATCATGCCTCCTGTCCCTCAACAGTCACCTGGGGGTAAGCCATTCCACCAGGCTGCCTCAATGGAAGAGTTAGGAGGCAGAAGGATCATTCCATCAAGCACCTCCAGCCCCTGAACTGCGCAGACTGGTCATTATAAGAACAATGGCCCAAGTTCGATCTCCCCTCTTCCTTCCATGTCTTTCCCTTCCTTGTGCCATGTTTTTTTTAGATTGTAAGTCAGCAGGCAGGGATGGTCTTGTTTTCATTGATTGTATATAAGTCACTCTTAGCAGAGCAAAAATGTTCTGAATAACAACAATAGGTACCCACCATTCACCCAAAGGTCCTACAAATTTAAAATAGAACATTAAACCAGTTTAAAACAGCTTGCAATCACAGAAGGGTGGATCTGAAAAATATGCACCTCAAAGGCCAGAGTAAAAAGCATTGAAGCTGATATAAAGCTGTGGGCCAGATCTTTAGCTCAGGAGTCCTATCACTAGTTGTGCCCGCCCTGTGGAATGTCCTCCCATCAGATGTCAAGGAAATTATTATTATTATTATTATTATTATTATTATTATTATTATTTGGGCAACTTCCAGCACCTATAACAACATAAAAAACTGTCAAACATTAAAAACTTCCTGATACAGGGCTGCCTTCAGATGTCTTCTAAAAGTTGTGTAGTTCTTTATCTCCTTGACACCTGATGGGAGGGCCTTCCACAGGAAGGGCGCCACTACTGAGACGGCCCTCTGCCTGGTTCCCTGTAACTTTACTTCTTGCAGCGAAGGAACCACCAGATAAACAACTACCTGACTTTTAGAAGACATCTGAAGGCAGCCCTGTATAGGGAAGTTTTTAAAGTTTGATGTTTTACTGTGCTCGATGTTTTAATTTGTTGGAAGCTGCCCAGAGTGGCTGGTGCAACCCAATCAGGTGGGAGGCATTTAAATAATAAATTATTATTATTATGTTATTATCACCTCTCCACATCCTGCAGCCCAGCATGGCATGGACAGGTGGGCTGGATCACCTGTCAGTCATCTGATGCCACCATGATATCAGAAGATTGAGAAGTAGTAGTCCCACCCACCTATTGAAGTTGGCCTGTGAGGGTAAAGTGAGACAGTGACCAAGCTGGAATGAACTGCCCATGTGCCACCTGATGGACAGGGAGTTCAAGCCTGCTTTCCACAGGGTTCAGGTGCACACAAAAATTCATTCACGGCCAGCAGGATAAGGCGACACATCACAAAGCCGCTGGTTGGTATCCTGCTTCTCTACCAGGTGGCCTTCAGACAAGACCTTCCAGTCTTCAGCCCCCCATCTGCAATATGGGAAGAAGTGTATGGTACTACCTTGCAGGGTGGTTGTGAATCTCACATGACAAACAGCATGTAAACACTAGGCATAAAACAGAGATCTACCTTCCATTTTCCCCATCACAGGCTAAAATGGCTCTCAGTGCACTGCTTGGGCTCCTGGTTTCCATACAACTGAACGAAGCAAAGGCCAAGTCCCTGTTGACCCAGTTTAGTGCTCCGGGGGACTTTGTCCTTGGTGGGATGTTTGCCTTTCACTCCAAAGTACAGTACTTAAGCCAGGATGTGGAGCTGAAGACTCCCAAGTGTTCCGGGTGAGTAGGACCAAAAGAACCTCAGCAAAATGCACAGTCCACCAAGACTAGAGATGTAAAATTTCCAGGCATCTGAAGTTATGGAAAAGCACTTTCTCCAACATTTCTTTCACCATTGTAAAAGGAAATATTGCAATATAAATTTCCCCAATTTCTTGACACCTCCCCACAATAATACCTAGGTTGGGAAAACCAGACCACCCCCACCCCCGAAATCCACCCACGGCCGACTTGTTATGAGTATCTCATTCCGGGGTTCCGAACAAGGCGAGGGAGCTGTCCAGCATCAGTTGGTGCTGAACGGAAGAGGAGCTGTCCAGAGGGCACCTAGGCTAGGAACGAGCCTACGGAGGTTGTTGCACCAGCAACTTCCAGGCATCCAACTGGGGTTTAAGCATTCCACCTGTCTGCTTTTATCTTTGCCCCCAATTATGACTTTTATAGCCCTAGTCCCTCCTCCTAAGTAGGACTCTGACCAGGCTGCCTCATGTGACAAAGTGAGAGCTGTGCTAAGCAGAAAGAGCTTAGGTTTGGACTCCATACCAAACTAGAAATGATTGTGTGGGGTGAGCTGAATTGGGGACATATCGGAGCTCCCAATTCTTCTGGTTTTCTGGCTGAGACATTGTCTTGTGGAGGTGATTTCAGAGGTTCCCTGGTCCCAGTTTATGCTGGGAGGGGGCCATGCTGACATCATTTTCTGACAGTAAGGACTCATTTTATTCCAGCAAGGCAATGTCCTGTCACTGCATAGAGACATTATAGCACCTCTGAGTCAGGCATGCAAAAAGCTTGTCATGTCCAGACTGAAAAGGATAACTAACTGAGGCTGCTAATTGGAGAATCCAATCTCCAATTAGGGATGAAGAATCTGGACTTCCAGATATTCCTGGGCTCCAACTCCAGTCAGACACATCTCATCTCCGACTCAACCTTCTATTCGTTTTTGTCATTCCAAGGTGCTTCAACGAAATGGTACAGTCCTAATGGGAAAGGTTGTTCCACCTCAGTAAAATTAGGAGTATGCAGAGTGTTGAGTGTGGCTTCTGAGTCTGATTAGAGATCAGATTTCATCTGCAGCAATCACACACATAAGAGATATTTGTAGAGTAAGAAAATAACAAAGTCACTTATTATAGGAAGTGCATAGCTTGGATAGAGAGGTTTCTAGTTCTAAGCTAACTAATCTAGAGAAGACAAAGGCAGTCATGCATGCTCCTTTGTTCTCAGAGGATAGATCCAAAATGACCTTGAGGTCTGAGAGAGAAGTGTAAGCGGAGGAAGTTGTAAACAGGATGCAATCTAAGGTGTCTAAACTCCTATCTGCTAAACTGAGTTGCACCCAGACTCCCAACAAATTAAGCACCTTTGACACCACCCCCAATTCTTGACTTGAAGTCCAGCAAAGGAACCTTTGTCATTCACCGTCCTTGAAATGATTAACTCTTTTTTAACCGCCTCCCTAAGCTTCGACATTACTGGATACAAGCGGCACCTGAGCATGCGCTTTGCCATCGACGAAATCAACAACTCGACTTCTCTGCTCCCCGGTGTCAAGCTCGGCTATGAAATCCACAACACTTGCAACAACCCAGCCGTGGCCAACAAGCCCACAATGTCCTTCCTCTCCAAGTACCCCAACCACTATGGCGTGGAGGTGCAATGCGATTATACCAACTATAAGCCTCGAGTTGTCGCCGTCGTCGGCCCCGGCAATTCGGAGCTGAGCGTGCTGGTGGCTCGGTTCCTGAAGTTCCTTTTGATCCCAGAGGTAAGATGGGAAGCGCATTGCACTGGCTCTTATGAAGATCTCTTCCTCCCTTCAAGGAAGAGCCTCCACTGGTGTGTCTTGAGTAGGATCCAGGGTGCTACATTGAGGCAGAAGGTTGATAGCCATCTGGGTGGTCGAGTAGCAGAATCAAGAATTATGATTGTGATAAATTACCTGCCTTTCATACTAAGGTCCCAGGGCAGGTTACAGCAATTGAAACACAACACTAATATTAAAAGCACAATATCACACAGTATTTAAAAAAAACAGGTTTAAAACAACTTAAAATCACAGAAATAAGGTGGGTCTCAAAAATATATATCTCCATTGTCAAAAGCCAGGATAAAGAGCATTTGCCAAATGCTGTATAATGAAAGTGCTGGATACACCTCTGCCAGGGTCCATCAATGGGCCTTTTCAGTGGAATGTCATTGGAATTCTCTCCCCACTAAGGTGCATCTAACCGCACCATTGTTTTATTTTTCTCACAGACTTTTGGATGTGGTTATTGGGGACTGAAATAATTCATATATAATTTGCTGCTGCTTAATGTGAATTGCATTTATATAGCTGTTTTAATCATTTAATTATCCTGTATTGCAGAGACTGGAGTAAATGACCATTCCAACGATGCATTTCTGTGATTCTATGCATGTTATAGGCATTAAGTATGCCTGTTCATTATGCCCCTATGCCTTGTGTCCAATGCTAGCCCTACTCAGAACAGACCTCTTTAAAATAAGGGACAGGACTAACTTAGGTTTACAAATTTCAGCGAGCCAACTCTGAATATAACTTAGCTGGGTTCTAGCCATAGATGCCCAGACACCCAAATCACTGTTGCTTGCCTGATTGCATTGCATCAATTCAACGGTTATTTGAATATCCCAATTTTCATAGTCTCCATCTAAGAAGATAATAACAGCCTGCTAGATTGGGCTAGTGGCCCATCTAGCCCATAATTCTGTTCTCACAGTAGCCAACCAGATGCCTGTGGGAAACCCACCAGCAAGATCCGAGCACAAGAGCCCTCTCCCCTCCTGTGGTTTCCAGCAGTGCATATTCAGAAGCATTGCTGCCTCAAACCATGGAGGCAGAGCATAGCCACCAGGGCTACTAACCACTGATAGCCTTTATCTTCCTCCATGAATTTATCTGCTCCTCTTTTAAAGCTGGTGGCCAAGTTGGTGGCCATCATTGCCTCCTGGGGAAGTGAGTTCCATAGTTTAACCATGCACCACGTGAATCTGCCGTGAATCTTCCATATCCTCCCTATCTTCCATCTCTCCCCAGATCAGCTACGCCAGTTCCAGCGATAAGCTAAGTGACAGGCAACTTTATCCATCGTTCTTCCGGACCGTCCCCAGCGACCGAATCCAAGCCGACGCCATGGTTCAGCTCCTGAGCAAGTTCAACTGGAACTGGGTGGCCACTTTGGTGACTGATGACGAATACGGCCGCCGGGCCCTGCAGATCTTCGTCCAGCTGGCTCTCTCTAAGGATATGTGTGTGGCCTACGAAGCCATCCTCCCAAGCGACCCAGAGGAAAGCAAGAGGAAAGAGGAGCTGTCCAAAATAGCCGACCAGCTCCAGACGTCCAACATCAATGCCACGGTGATCTTCGCGCAACCGAGCAGTGCGGAGGCGCTGCTGAGGGTGGTGCTGAGCAGGGGCATCACTGGCAAAGTGTGGATCGCCAGCGAGTGCTGGGCAACCTCGCCCATCGTTGCTCATATTCCGAACCTGGCGAGAATAGGAACCATCATCGGGGTAGCGATAAAAAGCGGGGAGATGCCTGGGTTCAGAGAATATGTGCAGAATGTTGTGGCAGATCCTAGTAGGGACCAGACCGGCTCTGACACCAGTGATGGGGATGAGCAGTGCTCTGATTGCAGCTCTCTGACTCTTGCCGACTTCTCCACAGACACCGGTCCCGCTAGGTTCTACAGCACATTCAACACCTACAAAGCGGTCTACGTCATCGCCCATGCTCTCCACCAGCTGCTTCAGTGCAATGCCACAAGCAAGTGGTGCAACATGAGCAGAGAGGTCTACCCATGGCAGGTGAGTGAGGAGGAAGCAGTACAGGGTTACCTGCAAGGGCTGTGAGTTTTATTGGCTTTGGTCATTGTGAAAGGACTCTACGCTCTCTCTCTCTCTCTCCTCCTACCTGAGTTATTGAAACCAAGGCTGAGGAACATTTTTTAAATTATTATTATTTAACTTGAGACTTGTGTTCTTTTCTGGGCAACCACCTCAGGGTCACATGGCAGTGGAAGGTGGAGCCATAAGCAAAAAGTGGGTGGGGCAACTAAATAAAATGTTACCTTTGCACAGTAGGCTAGTTTTTACGTATGTCCACAAACCCCTGTCCACCCACCATCCAGACAAGCATGAGTTCAAGGCACATTCCACTTAGGCATAAACACTAAGTCCTCCTGAACCTTCCCGAGAAGAGGAGGGCAGTATAGATTTACAACAGTGGTTTGCAGAAGGTCATAGTTGCAGAGGCTGAAGAGGGAAGAAGATGGGAAGTATTGGGAGAGGGCTAGGAGGAGGAAGGAGCAGCAGAGGAGAGACAGCTGACAGACTCAGTGACTTTAGAAAGCATTAATGACCCCCCCCAGGACCCGGCAGGTATTGAGAGTAGTAGAGCAGAGAGCTCAGAGGCAGAAAGCACAGATGAGCCGGCGCAGAGATGACATATAATAGGAGAGACGGAGGGGGTGGGACTTTATTTGAAGCAACATCATTATCTATCTCTCTCTGAGACTATTGAATAAAAGACTTGGTAAGGACTCTTATTGTTTATCTGCTTCTTGGCTGACACTGTGGGAGGGATCGGATTCCCTGAAGCCTGACAGAAAGCAGCCACTGTAAGGGTTTCAATCCTCCAAACTTTGGAAGGGCTGCATTTACTCCAGTCATCTCAGAAATCCCATTAGACTCCCTGTTCTCATGTAAGCACACCTGCCCATTGGTGGGTCAGGGGTACAGCCAGCTTTATAAACCTGCTCCAGATTCACCCCTGACCTCCCATCCCCTACAGCAGCAAGGGAAAAATGCACTTAAATTCGTTAGTTTTTATACCACCAGTTATCTGGTCAATCAAGGGCCCCTAAGTCATAAACGCATCGTTGCCCAGCCGAGGGTGGTAATATCAGCATCCTCACCAAAGGGAAATTGCCCACACACTTGCCTAGTTTGGCTTTGCAAATCTTTCATATTTGGAGCACAAGAGTGCAAGAACAGCCTCGCTGGATCAGGCCGAAAGCGCATCTCCTCTGACATCCTGTTCTCACACTAACCAGATGCCCATGGAAAGCATCCTTAAATCATGTATTGCATCAGAGGTGAGGAGGCAGTATAGAGGAGCTTATGCATTTAATAAAAAAAAAATATACGAGAGGCTTTGATGTGCCTCCAACCCTCTGCTACCACCTCCCTCACTTGGGGTTTTAAATAACTACACTTCTTCGGGTTCTTCTCCTTGTTTTGCAGCTCCTGGAAGAAGTAGCTCGGGTCAACTTTACCATCAATTCTCATCTGGTTCATTTCAGCAAGTCGGGAAATCCTCCAACAGGTTACGACCTGATTTACTGGGATGCGACCACACATGGAAACCACGAGTTTGTCAGTTTCGGTAGCTATCATCCCCTGCAGCCTCAGCTCAACATTAACAAATCAAAGATCCGCTGGAACACAAAGGAAGGGAAGGTTGCGCTAAGTTGTTTATTCACTACTTACATAGCTCTTGGCTTCTAAGTGAAAACAAAACAAATCCTCCTTTCTGCAAATGGTGGTGGCAGTTTTCATATTCTGTCCCTATTAAGTCCAAACTCTGTTTAAACAGAACTAGGTTCTCTAGGCCTACTAAATACATTTTCTCATCCTCCTTCAGTGCCCCTCATCTTTATTCTTAAAGGTCCACATCCTTCTCTTCCTACTGCTCCTCACAAGTCAGCTGGTGTCAGGGAACTGCCATCAGTGCCGGAGGGAGAGAGCAAAATCCAGAGGGATTCCAGAGAGCGTCCCAGGAGTGGGAGAGGCAGCCCATCTTCTGGGGAAGAGAATCAGCGTAGCACCAGTGGAGAAGGGGGGCAGATGGGGGAAGCGGCGAGGCGGTCCCATGACTCCTTGCCGGGGACCAGCGGGGAGAGCAGAGGTCCTCCACTGCCTACGCCCTCCTTGCGCAGAAGGCTTTCGCGCAGAGAGAGTAGGAGGAGACTAGGCGTCAAAGAGCTTCTTTGCTGGAAGAAGTTTAAGAAACGCCCACTGACGGATTCTGCCAGCGATTGAGACAGCCACGAGAGAGTGGCTGTCCGGACAGAAAAGGTTCACTCAGGCAACCCAGCCAGGTGTTTGCACCGGCTTACGCACGAGCAACCCCTAGAACCATTACAGCTGGCTTTCTTCCAGCATGATTTTTCAGGCATAAGGACTAGAAACTTAAGGGGGGGATTTAAAAAGAAGAAAGAAAGAAAATAGATCATCTCAGGCTGCTGACTTTTACTGCCCAGTATTCAGTCCTCAGTTTGGACCATCCACTAAGAGAAGCTTCCCTTTCCCATGATGGTATCAGTGTTGGGCGCTAGCATATTCAGGAAGCTGTCGAGGCCCCAGAGCTCTCAAAGGGTTGCTGTCTGCTGGTTCCAACTTCTGCTCCTTGCTGCAACTTGCAGTGGTGCTCCTCCATCTTGTCACTACCTATTTGCTTCCTCATCTACTGGCTTGCAGGGACAGACGGACAGCTAGAGGAGGGGTTGCCAACACAGCACTCCTGGGCACAATGACACCCCTTTGGTCTTCCTCTGGCACCTTTGAGGCCCTCACTCACTGCTCTCTGTAGAGGTGCTGAGGGTGGCTACCATTTTCTCCCTTGAAAAGTACATAGAGCTGCAGGAAGTTGAAAGAGTGGCAATCCTTCCCACCTCCTCTATCACTTTTAGGTATGCTTCAGTGCTTAGATTCATTCTACAAGATATACCTTGGGATAAATGGAGTGTGCTTGCCTTCTCCCTGCCACTTGTGTGGTAGCTGGGTGCAGGAATGATCCAGGGGAGCAGAGAAAGAAGAGATCAGAGCGGGTGGCATCCATGGCATTTCCTTAAAAAAAGTCCAAGTGTGTTATGGGGCCTAAAAGGGTTGGCAACCCCAGATGTAGAGGAAAGGGGGGGGGCTAGCTTGTTTTGACAGGATTTCCAAAGTGGTGGTGGGGACAGCACAGTCCACTGGAGTCGGTAAACACATTTTGTTTGTTTCTTTCATTTCCTAAAGCCCCCCATATCAAGATGTACACAGGAGTGCAAACCAGGGCAGAAGAGATGGCTGAGAGGAGAACACAACTGCTGCTTTCTGTGTGAAGACTGTCCTGCAAATTACTTCCAGAACAAAAACGGTGAGCTGGAGTTTTTCCAGATGTGCCAAGGGTGCCTCCTCATTTAACAACTGTACATTGGCAGCGAAGTTTTGAACCAACGCATCTTTCTTCTTTTTGCCTCATAAATATTTTTAGCTCCTGTTCATGTTCTCCACCCCATGTTCCATTCTTACATTTTAAGTAAGAATGATCAGATGCATTTTTAGCCAATTAACTACGTTTGCATGATAACGAACAACAGAAAGAATGAGGGAGTAAACTTTATCTCAGGTGGTGCATGTAAGGTAAGGTGAAAAGGTGAAAGGAGTCCTGGATGGTTAAGTCCAGTCAAAGGCAACTAAGAGGTTGCAGCGCTCATCCCGCTTTCAGGCCGAGGGAGCTGGCGTTTGTCCACAGACAACTTTCTGCGTCTTGTGGCCATCATGACTAAACCACTTTTGGCACAACAGAACACCGTGACAGAAGCCAGAGCGCACAGAAACGCTGTTTATTTTCCTGCCACAGTGGTACCTATTTATCTACTTGCACTGGTGTGCTTTCGAACTGCTAGGTTGGCAGAAGCTGGGACAGAGCAACAGGAGCTCACCTCATTGCACAGATTTGAACCGCCGACCTTCTGATTGGCAAGCCCAAGAGGCTCAATGGTTTAGACCACAGCGCCACCCACGTCCCTTTCGGTAGTGCATGGGAGGCTTTGTCTTAGAAGAGGCATCTTTTAATCTCTCTCTCTCTCTCTCTCTCTCTCTCTCTCTCACACACACACACACACACACACAATGGGATGCCTCTTTTGGCACCATCGTAGAAGAGGTATTCCTTCTTTTCCTACACACAATGACTGTCACCTGAAGACTGTTTTCTTAAAAAAAAAAGTGCTGGCATTAAAAAAGGATCAGACTAACCAGGGAAAGGGCAACTTTTCAGCCAAACAAACTGGGTTGCATCCAACATAGTTCTACTCAGCCTCCTCCCCTTCTTGCCTAATCAACTATTATTTTCATCCAGATCCCCATGAATGCACCCCATGCCCTAGAGAGAAATGGTCTCCTCCGCAGAGCACCACATGCTACGACAGAGCGTTTGAATACCTGGAGGTGACCGACACCCTCCCCATCAACATGGTGGCCTTGACGGTCTTGGCCATGGCCCAAATGGCCGTTGTCACCGGCATTTTGGCCAAGCACCGCGGCACCCCAGCCATGCGCTTTGTCGGTGGTTTCCCCACACTCTCCATTGTCCTCTCCTCAACCTGCTTCTGCAGCAGCTTCTACTTATTCGTCATCAAGCCCACCTCGATGGTCTGCAAGCTCCGGCAGCCCCTCTTCTTCTTCAGCTTCACCATCAGCTTGGCCACACTGCTTGGCAAGACACTCCAAAGCTCAGGGCTCGGCTGGACCTTGAAGAGGCCTAAGCTGAGGAAGCACCTGATGGGCCTCTGCATTCTCCTCAACATAGCCATCCAGGGCCTCCTTTGCCTCGTATGGTATTTCTGGAACCCTCCTTCCTTGGAGGAGAGCACCGAGCTGGAGAAGACCATCCTGGTGCAATGCCGGGACAGCTCCTTCCCGGGCTACAGCTCGCTCCTAGCCCATGACTTTGGCCTGGCTGCCGTCTGCTGCCTCTGCACCTTCATGGGGAACAACTCAGACCAGAGGAATGACAAGGCCGCCAAGTCCATTAGCTTTGCAATGATCCTCATCCTCATCATCTGGACACTCTTCGTGCCCACCTACGCCACCTCCCAAGGGAAGTTTGTCTCCCTGTTCCAGGTCTTTGCTGGCCTGGCCAGCATCTTTGCCATCTTCGGCTCCTACTACTACCCAGTGTGTTACATCCTTCTCTTCGCACCCCACATGAACACGGACACCCACTTCCGCTGCCTGCCCCAGAACCCTCCAGCAGACGGCAAGCCAGATGCTCCAGAAACCAAGTAACGTAGGGAGAATAGCTGTCAACCGTCCCTTATTTGGCGGGAAAGTCCCTTATCACAGTGCTGTGTCCCGCTGCTGTCCCTTATTGATGATGTTCCTTAAATTTCCCGGGTTTCAAAGGAAGCAGCTCTTCTCCCTCCCTCCCTGCCGGCCAGGGAGGAAGGAGGCTCCAACTGTGTTGCTTGGCTGCGTTGCTCACCCAATAAGGAGTCTAAGAACAATAGGGGGTGGAGCTTGCATGCCTTGTGCAAATTGGCCGCGTTGCCTGGGGACTCGCCTTTGCTCAGCGCTTCCCAGCGGAGAGGCGACAGTGGTTTTCCTTGCTGCATCCCCTTTGCCGGGTTGCTGCACTGTGGGAACCACCGCTTGAGGCTTTGTTTGGCTGCTGGCTGGGCTTTCTGCCTTTGGCTTGGAGGGGATCAGAAGTTGAACATACCTGTGCTCTGAAAATCCCTTATTTTGGCTGCTGATCCCTTATTTTCGAGGCTGCTGGTCCCTTATGTTCAAATCTGTAAGTTGACAGCTATGGTAGGGAGTGGGAGAAGACTGCCGGCTCCCCACTGGGGCATCCGGTCAGCCACTGTGAGAACAGGATGCTGGACAAGATGGGCCATTGGCTTGATCCAGCAGAACTCTTCTCACATTCTTATGTGCCCTCTAGTGTTTCTCAAACTTGATAAACACTGGAGGGCACCATAAGTCTCCAGCTGTTGTTGGGACTGCAACTCCCATCATCTCTGACCACTGGTCCTGCTAGCTAGAGATGATGGGAGTTGTAGTTCAACAACAGCTGACGACCCAAATTTGAGAAACACTTCTCTAGATAGTGCTGGACTCCACTATCTTCACCCTACCCCTGATTATTTACCATGGTGGCTGGGACCAGCATCCAATCTCTGGAGAACCACAAATTCGCCATTTCTACTGTAGGAATTAGAGCAGATATCTCTACCCTGATGCCCCCTGGGTGTTACAGCTCCCATCCTCCCTAATTCCCTTGGTCAGGCTGGTTGGGGCTGATGGAATCAGGAGTCCCAACAACATCTGGAGAACCTTAAGCCACAGACTCATAAGCACATTTGACACAAAACTCTGGCTCAGCGAGGACGTGAAGTGGTTCTTTGGCTACGGAGTTTCAAGGAGGTTCTCACTGCATCTATTAGCAGCCGTTCCAGCAGGCTGCAGAAACGAAGGAGAGGGAAAACAGCACAGTTTACCATCGGCATTGCCAGAGCGGGGCAAGCACAAACACTCTAAACAAGAAGCTTGCCTTAGGGCCGTATCCCCTTGTGGGCAAACTTCCGTCAGTGGTGGACGGAGCCTGAGGCAAAAATGATCAGGTGAACAGGTGACTTACCTTCATAGAGTTATATTCTCTGTAGTTACATGCAAAAGTCAGTGGCTTCTCCATGTGTGCGCGCACACACATCCCTCTCTATCTACGCCAGTAAAAGATATGACCACGGTTCACGAATTTGTTCCTGAGAAGGGTGCGGAACAGAGCCAGAGAGGATTGTTGCTGGCTTGTAACCCAGGAAGGAGAGACATTACCTTGCCAACAAAGGTCCGTATAGTTAAATCTATGGTTTTCCCAGTAGTGATGTATGGAAGCGAGAGCTGGACCATAAAGAAGGCTGATCGCTGAAGAATTGATGCTTTTGAATTATGGTGCTGGAGGAGACTCTTGAGAGTCCCATGGACTGCAAGAAGATCAAATCTATCCATTCTGAAGGAAATCAGCCCCAAGTGCTCACTGGAAGGACGGATCGTGAAGCTGAGGCTCCAATACTTTGGCCACCTCATGAGAAGACTCTCTTCATGAGAAGAGAAGACTCCTTGGAAAAGACTCTGATGTTGGGAAAGATGGAGGGCACAAGGAGAAGGGGACGACAGAGGACGAGATGGTTGGACAGTGTTCTTGAAGCTACCAGCATGAGTTTGACCAAACTGCGGGAGGCAGTGGAAGACAGGAGTGCCTGGCGTGCTCTGGTCCATGGGGTCACGAAGAGTCAGACACGACTAGATGACTAAACAACAACAACCCAGGAAGAGCCCTAAGAGCTGGATATTCTTCAACTCTGTTATCTTCTTGGATGCATTATCTATTCTGTGTTAGGCATTACCCTTTCTCTTGTTCAGTTTTAAGCTGTTAAACTAGGCTGGTTTATTTGCATTGCTTCATACAAACTTGTACATGCTGATTCAAACTGTTGCACTTAATTCTTCATTTGGTATGCTGTGAGCTACTTTGGGCACAGTTCTGAAGGAAAGCGGCACACAAATAAATGCACGGTGATCTATTTGGATGTAATCTGACATTTCCTGTCTCTTTCCTATATGCTTCGCGTGGTTTAAAAAGGTGTGCAATGCCGTTAACTTGACCCAAGCCTTTGGGACAGGTTTGGATGACAACGCAGGTGAAGGTGTTTGGACTTCACACACTTACATGTGTAACTTTAAAGGTGCTTCTGCAAGAGACAGAATCGGAGGTGTGGCACACACACAGCCTAATATGCCCTCTGATTCCCTAATCCATTTGGGGCAAATGGGCCACTGCTTCACCAACATCAGCCTGCCCTAAGCCAGCCCCCACCTGACAACCTGTTGAAGGGGGTGTGGTCCTGCCTGTCAGCTTCCTCCTCTTTAAGCTTAGTGTTTTCCTCCTAGAACTCAACAGGGAGTAGGAGGATGAGGACAAAACTAGAATGAGTTGGCTTTCCTTGTCGTGGGCTCTGGCGCCACCTACTGTTCGTCTCCCTGACTTCTGCCCTACCAGTCCCAATGGGCACCAGCCACCAATCCCCTGATTACTACAAGAAGAAGAAACCTTGGGCTATGAAGAAGACTCATAACTGCATCAGGACAAAGCAAGATTGGACTGCCACCCAGGAATAAGTTACGGTGCTTTCAGAATATGAAATATACAGTCCACAACACACACACCTCTCAAAATAAAGTATCACCACAAATAAAGGAAAGACAGAAAAGTGCATTTGTCACGTAAAAATTAAAAGCTTTTTTTTAGTGTTTAAAATAGCATTTACACATAAGCTGCTATATATTAACTATACAGACACTTGAATTTTAATACAATATCTACAAAAAGAAAGAATTCAATTATGAAATAGACATGTAAAATGGGGAAACAGTACGGTTCACACTGCCCAAAGGTTGACCTTGGGAACTGAACCAGTTCTAGGACAGTTAACGTTTGAGAGTGATAGGGAGTAAAGATTCTCCCCACCTCCAGTCATTACTTAAAATCATTTATTTTAAATTGTTTTCCTCTACTGTACATAAATTCTTTACACATCTTTCTAATCACTGATTAGAATTAAAATCATTCTTTTGAAGTTACTCACTACAATCCAGATAAACGAAATTTTAAAAAAGCCAAGGGGTGAGTCCACCTAGGGGATTAACAGCAGATCCACACCATTCAAAGTTCATAGATCCTACAACGCAGGAATTACAGCTAAAGAATCCCTAGCATAGAATCACAGAATTGTAGAGTTGGAAGGGACCCCGAGGGAGCTGAAGGGGTGTGCATTTAAAAGCACATTACTTTCCCCCAAAGAATCCCAGGAACCGCAATCTGTTAAGGGTAGTGGGAATGGTAGCTCTGTTGGGAGGGAAACGACATTCCCCCAGGGTTGACTGGGGAAAGCCATGTGCTTTAAACAGATGGTGTTGATCTGCCCGAAAACAGAACAGGAACAAAAGCAAGACTGGCCAAAGGTCAATGACAAGACAGTGGGGCATGTTTGTCCAATTACAGTCAGATTAAACAATCAGGGGTGGATCACTCTAAAAGAGTGTAGAAAGAGCACAGATCCACTGGGACACAGCAAGTGAACCATTTTTAACATGGGTGAACCATTTTTAAGGTTGAAGACCAATGTACCCCTTAAAAAAGGGTTGGGCCAACTTAAGGCAGCTACCTCTGTTACACCTGCCATCAACCTAACAGCTATTTTGGAAGCTTCTAAGAATCCCTAACAGGTCCACACAACTGTTGCAAGGTTGCCCCCTGCTACACAGGTGGTGCCATTTTATTATCTATGTGTGTCTATGCCTGTATCTATCCACAGGGGTGTTGCAGATCGTACGATTCACGAAGCAAATAGTTGTGCTATTCTAAATGCTTGCTCATGTGAGTTTTGCCGTAAGTACTGGAGATATAAAGTTGTAGCCAATGTTTGCCTCACTCAGGAGAAGACCCCCCCTAAACTTAATGGACAAGATGCAACATAGTTCCATCAATTTCAATGGGTCTACTCTTCAGTAAACCTTGACTGGATGTAACCCCCTTTAACTATATATCCACAAGAAGAACCGGCTGGTCTTCGCACTCCTCTTCTCCGAGATTTGCACCCTCAGAGTAAACTGATTTGCGACTCTTAACATCTCTTTTGGGATGTCTGCAAGGAAGCTGAGCTGCCTAGGAAGGAGCCCCTGGCAAGTTCACAGCATCTGATGACAGCATCTCTGCTAGGGGGCACCACAGTTCGGTGGTCAAGCTTTGAACGCAGACAGTCCAAGTTTCAATCCTTGGCGTCTCCAGTTAAAAATGGTCAAGAAGTGTTCGATGGAAAAGACCACAGACCCTGGTGAGAATTGCTGTTGCCAGTCAGAACAGGCAGTGCATCTACTTGTTCTGACTTGGTAGAACATGGGAAGCTGCTTTATCCAGCTTAGTACCGTCTACTACACTGACTGGCAACAGCTCTCCAGGCAGAAGAACTCTCCTAGCCTTAGCTGGGGGATTGAGCCTGCAATCTTCATGCAAAGCAGAAGCTCTGCCACTGAGCTGCTAACCTTCCCCAGAAACCAGCTGTTGAGGAATAACCAAAGTGGCAGGGAAAGTGCTTTGCAGGGTGTCCAGTCCCTTACCGTTGCTGTGTTGGGAAATCCTGGAGAGCTGCTGCCAGTCAGAGCAGACGGCACTGGGCTAGATATAGCAATGGCCTGAGCTGGAGATAGGCAGCTTTATATTATTCTGAGATTTTTCCCTGCCACTGTAAACCAAAGATGTGGAGCGGTGGCAGGAAACTGACATGGGCCGGTGTAGCCATCAGAGTGGACCTACTGAGATTGATGGACCTAAGTTCATCGTGCCCATTAAGTTCAATGGGTCTACTCTGAGGAAGGCTGGCACTCGAGACAACCCATGGATGCCCTGCAAAAGCACAATTCCCAAGATTATTATTTTTATTGGTGGGGGGGAGAGATTGCTATCACTGCAACTCCAAACAGTTGAAAGATGAGAGTGCAGTTGTGCAAAAAAGAAAAGAGAGAGAGAGAGAGTTGGGAAGAGTAAACAGGTGATTGCAAAAAAGCAGAATCGTTCTCACGATTGTCACTATAATGTCACAGCCTTTCTCACAAAGCATGCTGTTGCCACCACATCCAAAAGCACAGACCTGCTAACACTTTGTCATTTTGACTGGCTTGACATTTTTAACTTACACGCACAAAATGGACAGAGAAACATATAGAGGCTATTCCACATGACCCCAAAGTAGAAGTGCTAACACTGTCCAAATTTCTGATAGCTGTGATGCTTTCGTGTATTTTTTTTTTTAATACAAGCTGACAGAAAGCTGCAGTCACTCTCACCATTGCCCAAAGCTTTGTTTTTAAGTGTCTCCGCATTTGGGGTCCCCTTCCAACTCTACAACTCTATCTCTGATGTGGGTGTTCCTCCTAATTCAAAAGAAAAGCCCAGAACAGCAGCTTATGCAGATACATAAGAGGCAACCTCCCGTGACAGCGGGCCAGTTCTGCTGCCTCTCCTTTTTGGGAGCTAGACGCTGTATGCGGAGATGCACCAAAATGACATGCTCCCAATGGAGGCTATTTGGAGGGAGGAAAGCTGAGAGCTTTCTCATTCAGAGATGCAACAGGCATCCTCAGCCAAAAGCAGGTGAGCTCTGCGATGGCATTTCTCCATTAGGTGTGTGGATCAAGAAGCCACTTCCAATGCACAAGTTATTTGCCTTCAGAGGCTCCCCATCGTATCTCTGGATGAGTCAGTAGACTTAGCTTACTTCTTTCAAATCAGCCTCCACTGGGTTTGGGCAATTGCCTCTGTCAATTAGGTGCATGGATCAATGCCCCAAGGCCAGTGGAGGCTGATGGGAAGGAAGGAAGCCAAAAGCGGCAACTCACACATAGCCAGTGAGCACCCTCCTCCTCCGGCGAGTCCTGTGGGCTGCTACAGGAACTCTCTGACAATGTACATTTGCTCATATGACGCCAAGAAACATTAACACGCTTAATTATTTTACAGTAGTTAAATTTATTTCTCGCCACACAAGTAGCCATCCAAACGGCTCCAGCCCAGTTTGGAAAATTCAGTGCTAGCAATTTTATTCTGCTGCAGAAGTTTGTTATAGTAGCAATTGCACCTTTTCCTGTCAATTGATAAGCACAGCCATGTATATTCATTGCACTCAACTGCCAAGCAAGTGCGCCATGTTTTGTAGATCATAGAATTCTGCATTCTCGCTTAGCTTTTTAAAAAGCATTTTTAAGAGGTTCTAGCTCTCATCGCTGAGAAGCCAAGCTTGAAAACATAAGCATGTGGACTGGAAGTCAGCAAAACCCTTAAGTGATGCGGAAGTGAGGGTGGGTGGTGGGTACAGGAGAGACCACATCCACACCATACATTCAAAGAACTGTGATACCACTGTGGACAGGCATAGCTTCCCCCACAGAATTCTGGGAGCTGTAGTTTTTAAGGGGTGTGTTGTTAGGAGACCCTCCCATTCCCCACTGTAGAGCTACATTTCCCAGAGCGGGAACACAAAATGACCACGCCAAACCCGGGAGGAGGGCAGTACTGGGTTCATTCTCCCTCATGCACAGTAGAAGCTAGTTCATGAAGACATATGGGGCACTGCCCCACCAACTTCAGTCTGCCTTCAATCCCCCTGCCTATCTCTCTTTCTTACAACCAGTCCAAGGACTGCAAAGGACTTTTAAAAAAAATGGTAAAGACCAACATTTCTAACACTTCGAAAAGTTTGCTGCTGTGTGCAAAACATTCTCATTTCTGAAGCCCAGCGATCCGCCAGCATTTGCGCCAGGCCAGACTGTGGATGCTGTAGCTCAAAGTACAGGAAAACACTCATTTAAAAATGAAAAGAGAGGGGACCTCACAGAAGACAGCCAGCAGTCCACATGAGTATTTGGGGAGGGGGGTGGACGGATGTGGAATGAGAAGGCCGGTCCCCCCCCTTCCACCTGATGAGCAAGCTATAAAGAGACAGGCCAGCTTGCACACAGTACACACAATGGGAAGTATTGCTGGCTCAGTGCTATCAACACAGCTTATAAAACCAATGGTCAAGTTAAGTGTTCAAATCTCAAATCGCCCGGAAGAAACAAATAGGGCGAAAACAGATAAAATACATGTGACAGAGAATGCAACAACTTGTAAACCTGGGGGTTGCATCTCACCTTTCTCACTTGCCTAGAACATGTACACTCCATGCCGGTCAAATACTATATCAACACTATACCTTGTCCATCTTACTGAAGAATCAGGTGGGCATTTTGGCTCTGCAATTTATTTTTTAAGCAGCACTCACATAACGTTCAATACCTGTCCACCTTTCACTTTACTCACCTCCCCAAAAGAGAGTCAGGAATATTTTTACAAAGTTGAGGTGTGTTTGTGTGATCATGGTGTCCCTAGTGGATACTAACCAATAGGCACCGACCACACTCTGCTTTTCTCCAATGTTTCTAGAACTGGTTTGTTCTTGGTGGTTTTGTGGCCTTTGTTCATAGATGCAGGAAAATGTATGTATGTATGCTTTCATGTCAGAACCCCCCCCCCCCAGGTTTTCAAAACCACTCTCACCACCCTTAAAATTTAATGTCTGTTTTTTATCTTCTTTGGCGGCAATCTTGGAAGTTCATGCCCATCATTTATATGAAGTGCTACAAAAATAGCCCAGCAGAGATGCAGAACACGAACGGCAGCTGGTTGTCACTCCAGGACAAGGATGGGGGACCTGTAGCCCTCCAGATGTTGCTGAACCACATCTGCCACAATCTCTGACCACTGACCCATGCTGGCTGGGGCTGATGGGAGCTGGAGTCCAGCAACATCTGGAAGACCACAGATTTCACCCATCCCTGCTCCAGAATGAGAAGTGAAAACAGCACCAGGGAGATGTGGAACTGTCCAAACAGTAACATGGTTGGGCAAAGTTTAAGTGGTTTCCCTCCTAAGGGAAAGCCTGCTTATTCAAGTTCATTCACTCAGTGATTTTCACTACCTCCATCTATTGCAAGACAGTAGTAACCTCAAACATCCACATACATTGTACAGGTTTTTGAAAGAGATCATGAAGAAGTGCTAACCAACCCACTTTGCAATCCTAAATTTCAAAAAGGATCCACCATTATCTAGGGCAAGGTTGCGGAACCTGGGTCCCACCAGAGTTCTTCAGAGTCTGATTCCCACCAGTCCCCATCCAGCATGGCCAACATCAGGGATGATGGGAGTTGCAGTCCAACAATATCTGGAGGGCTGCAGATTCTCTGTCCCTGACCTAGGTCAACCACAGAGTGAAGGAAAGTATATCAAGTGACACACAACCCCTGCTTCCCATTCTCATTTGGGTGGCAGGTCTATGACACAGATATGGGGAATTGCTCAAGCCGTAAGTCCGTACTTTGCTTGGCACTGGTCAGACCACAAACAGCTACATTTGATTGGCATTTCAAGCTTCCCATCCAAGGACTGGGACCACTTGAGTCCAATGCCATCTCTAAACAGGGTATGTATCCCATGACTGGCGTGCTCTGGTTCATGGGGTCACGAAGAGTCAGACACGACTAAATGACTAAACAACAACAATCCCATGACTACAGTATTCCTGAGGGATGCCTCTCCAACCTTGCGAATCCTTCAAGGTGGTCTTGGGGTCATTCTATTCTTAACAAATCACAAGTATGTAATTGTCTCTGATGCACTGGTGCATTTTGATGCTTAAAGTTACTGAACAGGTAACTAATTTCCCCCTCTACCCTGCGTACAAATTTGGAAGCAGGTGGTAACGGAAATTTCTGTCAGCTCCAGGTGACTCTTGTGTGTATCAGCTTCTATTGGTATGTGAACAGTCCCTGTCGCATTTATTTTTAACAGTGCTGTCGTTGTTTTAAATTGCGTATGTAACCAGAGTCAGATTTTGCTGTTTGCAAACGCTTAGATAAAAAGCCACTGGGTGTAATGAAAGGCCAAGTTGAATTTATTCCTGCTTTCTTATACGGAAAGCAAGCTGGACACTGAATCCCTTTTCTCTGGCATCAGCTGCTTTTGCCTTCAGTGCAGGGGGAAAGCAAATGCTAGCAGCTGATGCCACAGAGAAGAGAGCAGAGCTGAGAAATGGATCTCCTTGCTCCCTTTAGCAGAGAAAAACAAGAAACAGCGAGCGTGAGCAAACAACGGAGGCAGGAGCAGGACTTGCCCAAGGTGGACAGGAGACCTCTTGGCCCAGCTGCTTGTGGTAACTGGCAGACACTTCGTAGTTTCATGGTTCGGAGAAGTCCAGTGCACAATTCAAACCTGAAGACATGCATGCAGGGAGAAGCACAAAGTGCCCAACTCTCTACCAAGTGAGTTATTTCCCCCTTTCTTAGGGCAATCGCATGGTGTGGATCCAGGCACCATGTAGCGTGCAAACAAGGCCTGAATAGTAAAATGAAGAAAGGAAGCAAAACCTTGGCACAGAGCCAGATCTTCACTTATGGTTGGATACAGGACTCCCATTGGATACAGGACTCCCATAATGCACCATTTGCAGACACACCTTAGATTTTATAGCTACTGGCTAGCACTGTCCTTTTCATAGCAAAAGAAGAAGGGTCCCCCCCACCCCCAAGATGGAAAGAAAGTAACCAGAACATTTAAAACAAAAACAAAAACAAAAGAAGGTGCAAATATGCATGACTGGAGAATTGTGTGTTGTTGCTTTTTAAAAGCACTATATAAAATGCTATTTCTTGATTGAGAACACAGTATAATTGCACTGGGGAGAGGATGCCACAGATACCAAAGCTCATTAGGGTATGTGAAGAGAACACCAATCAATCACATTGGTCAGGGTAGGGGAAGCAGAAGGAGAATTTAAAAAAAAAAAAAAGATTCCACTGATTTGCAGATATCTAAGTTTCCAGGACTTCTGTTCCTCGTTTGCTTGCAAACATCAAGAGTCAGGAAGGCGTGACATGCAAAGGACAGTCCGAATAGTTTCTCTCCCCCCCCCATCTCTCTGTCTCCACCCCTATTTCTTTTCCAGCGTCAATTTGCAAACTTAAAAAAGAAAACAAACCCTCCGCACAAGAGTCTTTTGAAGGCACTTCTTGTTCACATAATGTCAACGAAGAATTCGCAAGGGTTGCCCATGGCCTTCTGGAACGACTGGCGGCTGCCGGTCAGCTCGGGGGGGACGGAGGCGAGTTCCCGCACGGGGGGCCCCCCAGGGGGCCCACTTGTCCCATAGACTTTGGGGCCCAGCTTGGGGAGGCTGCAGAGCGGAGGAACGCCCGGAGGCCCGTGCGAATGGCGGCTGTGTGGGCTCCTCTCGCTGGGGGCAGCAGAGGCGCGGCTGTGGTGGCTGAGCTGGCTGAGTTGGCTGGCCGGCCGCTCGCGCCGAAGGACGCTCCCTGCTACCCCGCTCCGGGCAGTGGGATCCGATTCGCTGCCACTGCCGGCTGACTTGCGGTCCTTATCCCGAGCCAAGGTCCTCCGGCTTTTCTCGCTGTTGCTTCGGTTAGAGCCGCTACTTTTACTTCCTGGGGGGAAGGAGGGAAGGGAAAGGGAAGGGGGTCAGTGAAAGGGGAAAGAAACGCAAGTGGCACGTCGCCCACGCTTCCGACCAGCGCCTGCCGATCAGCGGCAAAGAAATAACAGATGAAGCAGTAGGTCCCGCACAAGGTTCGCATGCGATGGATGGCTACAGGACTCAGGTGAGCACAACTGCCGGGGCAGAAGCGGGTGTAACTTTTTGTCATGCATGGATGTCCAGAAACCACACTGAAAGCCTCGTAGAAGCAACGCAGCAACATTTTCAAAAAGGAGAAGTGATAATTTGGGGGGGGGGAACACGCTGGGGTAAAAAATAAAAAAGCAAAGGCAAAGGGTGTACAGTGGTGCCTCGCAAGACAAAATTAATCCGTTCCGCGAGTCTCTTCGTCTTGCGGTTTTTTCGTCTTGCGAAGCACGGCTATTAGCGGCTTAGCGGCTATTAGCGGCTTAGCGGCTTTAAGAAAAAGGAAGCAAACTCGCAAGGACTCACAAGACGTTTCGTCTTGCGAAGCAAGCCCATAGGGAAATTCGTCTTGCGGAATGACTCAAAAAACGGAAAACCCTTTCGTCTAGCGAGTTTTTCGTCTTGCGAGGCATTCGTCTTGCGGGGCACCACTGTATTCTGTTTTGTAACAATAACGAAAAGCAAACCCTGCAGAAAGATTCACACGAATGTTTATTTCGAAATGTCCTGAAATCCCAAGTGGGGACCTGTAACCAAATGCTGCACTGTATTCTCCCTCCTAAAAGCCCTGCTTGGGTTCAGGGTTCCAGCCGGCCACTCCCTCTAAGCGTGGCCTTCCACATTTCTCCAACAGACACTCTATGTTGCATGACTGCGGAGCATGCTCAGTCTTCAAGGCCATGCAAGTCTCTTGGAGGATTTGCCCCCATAAGTTGTTTGTTTGCTTTTGATGTGTGGGGTGGCTGGTTTGGTCTTTGGTACTTCTGCAATCCTTGGGATACCTCTGCATGTACCAATACCTCCCTCTTGTTTCTGAGCGGCCTCATCTTAGTTACAGTCCTGTTGGCACTCACCATCCAAGTTTGCTATTAGAAGACTCAAAAGTGGCTTTCCAGGAAGCATAGCTGCTGACCAGGCACGCACACAGTTTGTATTTGGCTGCAGTTGCTTTCATGCAGAGATTCACTGCAAGCTGCAAGAAGTTATTCTGTGTACTTAGGTATCCGAAATATTGTATTAAACACACACACACAGGCAAGGGAAGAACAATGAGTTCTCCATCTTTGATGCCTGAGATAGCAGAAGCTTGTCTCAACAGTCCAACAGCCCTCAAGCTAGCCAAAGATCCAGACCATGGGAAGAGCATTCTGTGAACCACCTAGAGCAGCGGTTCTCAACCTGTGGGTCCCCAGATGTTGTTGGACTACAACTCCCATCATCCCTGAGCTCTGGCCTTGCTAGCTAGGGATGATGGGAGTTGTAGTCCAACATCTGGGGACCCACAGGTTGAGAAAAGCTGATCTAGAGAAAGAGTTTGTGTGTGTGTTTGAGTATGTACACTCCACAAGAAAGGACTCTAGGATCTGCAGCTCTAGCCCTTTATCGACCATCACTCCTCAATAAAGAAGAGAAAACAGATGTCATCTGGAATGTGTGACGTTTCAGAAGGTAGCATTCTGTCCCCTTAAATTCCCGCTGGCTCTCAGACTGGGAGCAGATCTAGAGCTCTAAGTTTTGTCATCTAGCTGCTCAGTTGAGCTTAAATCTCCATTAAAAGCAATGTCTGTTTCACAGTGGAGCTCTCCAAGGTCCTGAAGAACTTCAGCAATTCCTGCTTACTAACTGAATCTGAGGGATGTGGGTGGCGCTGTGGGTTAAACCACAGAGCCTAGGACTTGCCGATCAGAAGGTCGGCGGTTCGAATCCCTGCAACGGGGTGAGCTCCCGTTGCTCGGTCCCTGCTCCTGCCAACCTAGCAGTTCGAAAGCACGTCAAAGTGGAGGTAGATAAATAGGTACCGCTCCAGCAGGAAGGTAAACAGCGTTTCTGTGCGCTGCTCTGGTTGGCCAGAAGCAGCTTAGTCATGCTGGCCACATGACCCGGAAGCTGTACACCGGCTCCCTTGGCCAATAAAGCAAGATGAGCACCACAATCCCAGAGTCGGTCACGACTGGACCTAATGGACCTTTACCTTTACCTTTAACTGAATCTGACACCCTGTAAACTGCAATCTGCTGATCAGCACTGGGGAAACTCCAGCCGAACTCTCCAGTGAAAGCTTTGCTTCCTATTCTGCAGGCTGTCCCAGCTCAGATGGCTGGCAGCCCAGGATAATTCAAAAGGAAACAAAAAGGACAGAGGGGCAGAGAGAAGAGCATGGGGAGGAGAGACACGCTAAGAGTTTCAGAATGGGGGAAGACACAAGAATCTAGATGATCATGCTATATATGAAGCAATAATATCAGTTTTCAAGGGAGGTGTGTGAGACGCTTACCAGTCCCAGCCATTCCTTTATGAATCCTTCAGTCTAATGCTTGCTCAGGACAAAACAAGGGAATAACAGTTACAAAAGAAAAAGGGGGGAAAGCTTCAAGTGAAATGACACACAACTGCAGCAGCCACAGCAGCAATGCACTATTAGGCAGAAGGTGGTGAAGGGAAAAGCAACACACTACCCCCATCATGCTCTCTGCTCCCACTTCCCCAGATATCTTTGCGCCTAATATAGCATAGCCCTTCCACCTGTGCATTCAAGAAAGGAGCATCTCTCCTCATAGTTCAGTCTCCTGCCAAGGCCGTTCTTCAGATGCTCATATGAGGAGGTATAAATGACTTAGGCCCCAAACATTCCCTACAGACCCTCTCAGGTGTTAAACACAGCAGGCAGAGTGAGTGTGGCTTGGCACTTCCACTGCCCTCTGAAGTTCAAGGTGGCATTGGCTTGGGAGAAGGCATTCTCTGTGGCTGCACAAATTCACCGCACAAAGTTCAAAATATTTTCTAAATGATGCAGATGCAACCTTAAAAAGCAGCCCAGCTCACTGTTTCAGCAACTAAACTTAAACGAGTCTTTGTTGGACAGGAATGCGGTAGGCTGGACAGGCGACAGCCAGAATATCCAAGTTCCCTTTCTCTCCTCCCACGCCCACCTCACCTTTTGTTTTGCTTTTCAGAGCTGATCTGTCATTAACCAAAAATAATGCTTATTTTTAGATATGAAATGTTAAATTACTGACTCTGCTGTGAATATTTGCTTTAGATTATAATCAGGCCCATGGAGAGGGACCGTTTTAATTTTTGCATGGAGCCTAACAATGTATAATACTAACACTACCAATACTAATACTACCAATAGGTTGTTTTTTTAATGCTGATATGGTTTGTATCTGGCCATCAATGTAGGCAACACAATTCTACTCCCTCCTCCAGAAAGCTGAGACACTGACCCAGTTTGCAGGTAATGTTGAGCCAAACTATGGCTTAGCATGAGCATACAAACATGTGGGTTCTCTGGGCTAAGATCATGGCCACTGAACTCCTCCCTACTACTACTACTACTACTACTAATAATTTATTATTTATACCCTCCCATCTGGCTGGATTTCCCCAGCCACTCTGGGCAGCTTCCAACAGAACACTGAAATACAATAACCTATTAAATGTTAAAAGCTTCCCTAAACAGGGCTGCCTTCAGTTGTCTTCTAAAAGTTTGGTAGTTGTTTTTCTACTATTGCAACAACACTACCTGGGGCTAAGCTATGGTTTGACTTAGTGTTATGTTCAAGCCTGGGCTCATGGTTTGTTTCACTTCAAACAAAGCACAAGTGGTAAATGCAAGACAAACCTTGGTTAGAGTTTGTGGTTTGTCTGCAGCAAGACAAACCATATACACCAAAACCATGGCTTAGCTCCAGGCAGTGCAGCAGTATCAGGAGAGGACTGCTGTGGCTGGGATCTTCACTCCAGGAACCTGTGCCTCTAACTCACATATGCTAAACCATGGCTTGGCTCGCCATTTAATGTGAACCAGGTCACCGAATCTATGCAGGCAGCTCGTTTAAAACAATCATTGACCAGCCTTCACATTGCAGCAGAAAGAAACTGATCCCATGCATGATAGACAAAGGGAGTCATGAGAAGAGGAGAGAGGAAAACAAAACCAAGGGGTGGGGGAGAGGGAAGACCTAAGCAAACGGCCAGCAGGAATGGAAATCATGGAAGGGGAGATGCACAGGCCAGAGAACCTACCTTCGCTTTGCTGGCTCCCTGCGCTGCCGCTCCCATAGCTGAAGCCTGGGTCCTGGTAGGCCGGCGGGAAACACGGAGGGGCAAGGGGGTATTGGTAAGGATAGCCTTGCCCCAAGGGCCAAGGCGTGGCCGGGTGCGGGAGGGGCCCCAGGGTGTCTTGGTCAGAAGCTCCGCTGGAACCATTGTTAAGGTTCAGTGCAGCCAGATCTGGAGACGGAAAGGAGAAAGCAACTTCCATGATGGCGCAGACACACAGAACAATATGGCTCAGGGGCAGAGTACGTGATTTGCATGCAAAAGGTCTTAGGTTCAATCTCTGGTATCTTCAGCTGGGCCTGGGAAGGACTTGAGACCTGGGAAAGCCATTGCTGACCAGAGCCTTCCCCAAAGGGCGTAAGGAGGGGGACTTACTGCCACAGAGATCACCAAAGACGTAGTAGCACTGCTCTGAGAACGTGATTTTGTTCACAGTGTGCCTGAGGTAGCCATGTTTCAACATGCTGCTGGCGTACTTCCGGGCCTCCCTTCGGTCTTTAAAGCCCTCCACGTGCGTGTAGAGCCAGTCGACCACGTCCGCTCCTGCAAACAGCAAGGGGAGTAGTCAAAGGGGGGAAAGCACCACCAATTTGTTAATTCCACACCACCCCCCACCTATCCACCCAAACCGACACTCCTGGTAAAAATGACAACTTGTTTATTTTACATTGCCCGTGCCCTCACTTGCTTTCAGTCCCCATTGCCCTCGCTTGCTCAGTGTGCTGTAGTGGTTAAGAGCGGTGGACTCGTAATCTGGTGAACCGGGTTTGATTCCCTGCTCCTCCACATGCAGCTGCTGGGTGACCTTGGGCTAGTCACACTTCTCTGAAGTCTCTCAGCCCCACTCACCTCACAGAGTGTTTGTTGTGGGGGAGGAAGGGAAAAGGAAATTGTTAGCCGCTTTGAGACTCCTAAGGGTAGCAATAAAGCGGGATATCAAATCCAAACTCTTCTTCTTCTCCTCTCAGTGATATCATTATGTTGCCAAATCTGGTTTGGCAAAGAGTATGCAGATTGCTTAAAGCTACTGAAGCTGGGGAAAACATGTTTCAGATAAATACACCACAGAATAAGTGGGAGTAGTAGCTGGTGCTATGTTCCCTCCTTGAAACCATGGTTTGCCAACCCTACTTTCAAGCCCTGGTTACCATGGACCCCAGTTATTGTTAACCAGAGTTACGGCTGGTGCTGTGGACAAAACCATTAACTGTGATGGGGAAGAGTAGGAAGAATTGAAGGGGGAAAGGAGGAGGAGGAGGAGTGGAGGCTGCTCACTACCTGTGATTAAAGGATGGGCTGCATTACATTTGCACTGCCCCATGCTCTTGTGCGAACCTGGTGCCCTCCAGTTGTTTTGGACTACAAATCCCATCAGCCACAGAAAGTAAAGGCTATCTCATGCTACACCGTCATAGAATCATAAAATTGTAGCATTGGAAGGGACTGCCAAGGGTCATCTAGCCCAACTGCTATGTTCACTCCCTCCCTGTTCCAGGAAAAAACACACAAGCTGTGACAGTAATTCACAATTCCTCATCCAAACTGGCTGGGTAGCAAAGGGGCACAAACCGTAATCCAGAACAGGAAAGGGAATATTTTGCCGCCAGAGTTGACATCACTGTATGCTGGATTTCCATTGGCCCAACTCAGCCTTCCCTGGCCTACAACTTCCATCAGCCCCAGCCAGGAATGGCCACTGGTCAAGGATGATAGGAGCCGGAGTCCAGCAGCATCTGAAGGGCACCGTGATGGTGAAACCTGGTTTGGTTAGTTCCTTCATAAGCACCCACACAAGCAAAAGTCATCAGTGGCAAAAAAGAAAACCTCAATTTAGTAAGGTGCCTTCTCTCCCACCCCCAGCCGCAGAAGCAGGAGTCACTCACCTATTACTGCATTGGAGATGGTAATTTTTAACCACATCCTGTCCCGAATCTCAAGGCCAGAATCCGACAACTGCATAACCTTGACAATGGTGGCCATGTCGCTTTTAACAGTTAAAGGGGATTCGTCCAGCTCTGGAAAAAAAGGAAGAGGAGACAGAGATGTTGCTATAAAGGAAACAAGGAATGGATGGAGGCTGAGAGGGAAAGCAGGGGGTGGGGTGGGGGAAGCAGTTTTATGCAAGGACAGCCCTGCTATGAGGAAAGCTGAGGTGGGCATTTTAGGGTGGAGGTTGCAGAGAAAGAGAAGGACCTGACCATGAGGTAAAATCGGCCAGCAACTCCTCCTGCACAAGCCTAACTAAAATGAACTTCAGCTGAGCAAGAGAGATGTAGACAGGGAGTGAGGAAAACTGGTCCCCTCCATTTTGTCCGCCTCATTTGGAGGCGATAAACAAGAAAGGCATTGTTTCTGCAGTACTTTGGCTGAAATGTGAAACTCATTGCTGATGGGGGCTGATCAGGGCAGCAGGAGACTACCCCTCATTACAAACCTCCATCATGACATGGAGCAGTTCTGAGGGGATTCTGGGAGAGAAATGATAGCTGCCTGAGGCTACCATCCCCCCCCTCGAATGGTGAAAGGGATCATTCTGGCAATACTTTGCATGAGCTGTGAAACTTATCACAGGTGGAGGCTGTGGTGGCAGGGTGCTGTTGTTGTTGTTTAGTCATTTAGTCGTGTCTGACTCTTTGTGACCCCATGGACCAGAGCACGCCAGGCATTCCTGTCTTCCGCTGTCTCTCACAGTTTGGTCAAACTCATGCTGGTAGCTTCGAGAACACTGTCCAACCATCTCATCTTCTGTCATCCCCTTCTCCTTGTGCCCTCCATATTTCCCAACATCAGGGTCTTTTCCAGGGAGTCTTCTCTTCTCATGAGGTGGCCAAAGTACTGGAGCCTCAGCTTCAGGATCTGTCCCCCTCATTTGCATGTTACCCATCATGATGCTGAGTTGCTTTCAACTCAGTTATGTCCAGAGGAGGCCCATTGAAATGAATGAACCTATGGTAGTCACATCCATTATCTTCTATGGGTCTGCTCTGAGTGGGACTGGCATCAGGTACAACCCAGAGTGCAGTTCTGAGGGGGTTCTGGGGGAGGGGGAGGGGACAATGGCTGCCACAAACCAGCATTTTCTTCCCCCTCAGAACAAGGCGAACAAAAAAGGAAAAGAGAGGGGCCATTTTCTATTCAAAGCCACCCAAAAATCCAGTGGAAAGTTCTTGTTTGTGAACTTTCAGCCTTAGAGAAGTGAATTAGCAGCAGTTGGGTCTCCTCCTTCAGGTACCCAAACACCTCAGGCCCAGGCCTGAAGACTATACTGGCAAATCCTGAGTGGCTTCTCTTCATTTCAGCATGGCTTGTGCTGAAGAACAGACAGCATGGAGGCCAACGAGAAGGGGGCGGGTGTCATTATTTGGATCTCCCCCTACAGGCACCAAAACTTCTTGAGCGTTCAAATAAATTTAATTGAAATCTCTTGCTTTTAATAGAGAACCTTGTCTAAAAAGGAGATTGGCCGGGGTGTATGTGAGAGAACTTTCAAATTGAAGTGCCTGTGCTGCAGCTACTTGGTGCTTTATTGGGGAGGATATCTATATCTCTGTTTATCAAAATTTCATGTCAAGAATTCTATTGCACAACTGCATTCTGTGAATGACACATGTATCTGGCCTTTTTATGTAATTTAGGCTTTCTTCCCATTATTATTAATTTATTATTATTATTATTATTATTATTATTATTATTATTATTATTATTAAATAAATTGGATGTGAAACTACACTAGCTGAAGAAGTATATCTGAGATACTTCTATATATCTTTATCACTTACAGCCCCACTTTAAGGGTGTTCACAAGTGAAGTATTCCAGGCACTTCCTTGGTCATGAAAGGTGTGGGGAAGGCATGGGGAGAGGCTGACTAGAATCACGTCAAACTGCCATTCTGGCCTAGGGACCTACTCTCAGCCTGCTCCCGGGCTGTACCACCTTGCTGGGCTATACCGCTTCACCTGAAGGAGACAGATGCTCACATGTTTGAACGCCGTCTTTGCGCAAGTGAAAACAAATCCCTGCATATGGAAAACTCAAATGTCCGGGAGAAGAGCCCTTCTCTCTAACAGGCTAGTTTTCTATGTGGAGGGAAAAATATTTATTTATTTGGGGGAGAACCCAGAAAATGAAGGGGGGAGAGGAAAGAATCAAGGATAGAAGCCAGGCAGCCAAGGCCAACCTGGCAATTGTCCAGACTAAAAAGTCAAGACTGAACTACAAGCTTTTATACCTCTATCAGGCCAGCAGGGAGACCAATGGGGTGCCAGGGTGGGTGGAGCCATCTAGGTACCCAGGGAGGCTGCCCTCAAGAATTTTTGGACTACAACTCCCATCAGTCCCTGGGGCAGAGAAGGGGGGGAGAGAAACAAACAAACAAACAAATAGGGGAGAGAGGAGTTGGCAGGGGAGAGAGAGAAAAGAGGAAAGAGAGACCCTGGAGTTGATGAGAGTTGTAGTCCAAAACATCTGGAGGGCATCAGCTTGGCGAAGCTGCACTACCGGAACATGTCTGGATTTTATTTTTTAATGGAGCTACAGCACTGAATTAAGACCCAGTTCATTTCCCACAGAAACTTCGGGATCCACTTATTTTTCCATGCTTATGTCATCTGTCAGAAAAGGGGGGGAAAGCGCGTGGTGAAGGAAGACTTGGGAACACACAGATTCAGGCCATGCACCCCCTTGCGACACCAGAAGAACATCATCATCCACCACTTGCCGTTTTACCCACAAAGGCTCCAGGGTCCCGTTTGCAACCAATTCTCGCCAGGTGCTCTGCGGCAACGTTTGGCTTTGGCAGGAAGTTAGTTTGGTTAGTAGCGAGGAAAGCAACCTGCAGTTTGGGTTTGACAACGTTCCGATTTGAATGTGTGGGGAGCAATAAATGGGGAGAGCCCATTGTGAGGGGTTTATGTATTGGTGTGTGGGGTGTGTGTGTGTGTGTGTGTGTGTGCGCGCGCGCGCGCGCAGGAGACTGACAAGACCACAGCAGAAACCACATGGAGATGGAAAGACCACAGCTGCCTGTTTGGGTTCCTACAGAGCAGCAACTGGTACCCAGAAGCATACTGCCTCTCACAGTAGCAAGAGAACAGAGCTGTCATGGCTAGTAGCCACTGATAGAATTCAAGCTGCCCTCCAAGTTGGCAGCCATCACCATCTCTACATCTTCTGGAAATGAATGCCATAGTTTGCTTGTCTCCCCCTTGGAGCCAGCTGAGAAGAGGCTTGTAAAAACCAAACAGCCTATCTAAATCCACTGAAAAAGACCCTCAGAACTGCATGCCAGGGAGAAGCCTCCTCCGTCCTTCCACAGATCCCCTTTAGGAAACCTGACCGCCAATTTTTGTTGTAGATTTTTTTTTTTAAAAAAAAATCCTAAGTAGTCCTTACTCCAGCAACGTAATTGTGAGGGGGGGGTCTATCTATCGCTATCTCCCCAAAAGAATGCAAAGAATGTCACAGTAGCCAGTGGCAATCTGTCGGCAGACAGCCAAAGGCTCTAACAATCTCAAGTATGCACAGAATTGTGCATGCATGTGCCAGGGGCAGGGGACTTCAGCTCAGTGTTCCTCAACCTGGCGCCCTCCAAGTATTTTGGACCACAACTCCCAACAGCCTCACCCAGCACAGAGATCGTCAGGTTGGAGAAGGCTGCTTTGGCTAAAATAAAGGCAAAGTCAGATATTTTTTGCTGATCTTCATGGGAAGCTGTCTAGCTAGCTCAGTTCAGCCTACACTGACTGGCAGCTGCTCTCCAGGTTTCTAGCCCTACCTGGAGATGCTGGGGATCAAACATGGGACCTTCTGCATGTGAAGCAGATGCTCTACCACTGAGCTATGCCCCTTCCCTTCTCTCTGCAGGATGGTACTGTAAAGGACTTTGAGGCTTCAACCAGTACCTATAGCAAGTTTTTTAGGAGTGGGAGGGAGGGTTGAGCAATAGCCCTCCAACCCAAAGTATGCCCATCTCCGCACCACTATCCAGTGTAGGGTAGCGGTTCGAGCGCTTCAATAGGACCTGGAAGACCAGGTTCAGATCCCTTGGGCATGAACTTCACTGAGTGACATTGCTCCAGTCACTGCCTCCCAGCCCAACCTACCTCACAGGGTTGTTGTGAACTATGTACACCACCTTGAGTTCCTTGGAGGGAAAAGGTGGGGTGTGAAGGGCTAGAAGCCATTCAAAAAGGCGAAGATATTTGAATGGTAAAATGAAAGAAAAAGAAAATTCACCCCAGGCCTGTGCTTTACTAATGTAAGAAGAGCCCTGCTGAGTCCTTTCTAGTCCAGCAACTCTCTAGCCACTGTGGTTAATAGACACTGTCAGCCTTATCCCCTGTGAATTTGCTAGTCCCCTAGCAAATAAGCAAATGTCCTTTAATGAGGACATCAGAAGGGCCCTGAAGCTGAATCAGACCAATGGCCCATTTAGCCCAGCAACCAACCAGATGCCCAACTGAGAATCCTGCAAGCAGGTCCCTGAGAGCATCACCCAACGTTCAACTCCCAGCGCCTGACATTCAGAGGCCTCCTGCCTCCTACAGCAGAGGCAAATCGCAGCCGCTGAGGCCTCGCAGCTGCTGACAACCTTATTCTTCCGGGTTTTGGATGGCCATGGGTGGAGGGGAAACAAGTTTTATGCTCCCCACAGCATTGTTGTTGCTGGAGCTCTTTGGCTTTTGGGGTTTCTTGTGTTGTGTGTCTTTTGTTTGGAGTTTTGTTTGTTTGGCTCTACACTGCCAGCCCTGCGCAGGAGGAAATAACCTGCCCGGTCCTGGCGGCAGTGTGACTTACTTTCCGAATCGGGAATTGAGCTTGTTAGTGAGGAGCTGGTAGAGGTGATGGTGCTCATGGAGGGGCTCATACCGTAACGGGGGTACGCTCCCGTCAGGGCCGTGGTATGAGAGATCCAGGCGGCGGGGTCGATCGGCCGCACGGGCTCAGCTGGAACGCGAGAGAAAACGGGGAGGGAGAAGAAAGGGTTAGCAGGCGCACTCTGTGGCGGTTCATCTCTTTCCTTTCAAAACTTACCGTATTTTTCACTCTATAGGACGCACCCGACCATAGGACGAACCTTGTTTTAGAGGGGGAGAACAAGAAAAAAAATTCTCCCCCTCTCTGCTCAGCGCCCCTTCAGAGAAGCGGCAGGAGAAACGGAGCCCCTTCCATTTCTCCTCCCGCTTGGCTGAAGGGGCGCAGCGCAGCTCTCCCTCTCTGCTGAAGCCGGGAGAGTCTTGCTCTCCCGGCTTCAGCAAAAGGGACCCGAAGCCTTTGGAGCGCAGTGCGAGGTCCCGCTGCGCTCCAAAGGCTTCAGGCGGCTATCCCTGAAGCCTGGAGAGCGAGAGGGGTCGGTGCGCACCGACCCCTCTCGCTCTCCAGGCTTCAGCGAAAGCAACATGTAACCTCCGGAGCGCAGAAGGAGCGCTCCCTCTGCGCTTCAGAGGCTTCGCGTTGCTATCGCTGAAGCCAAGGAGCCTGCACTCACTCCATAGGACCCACAAACATATCCCCTTAATTTTTGGAGGGGAAAAAGTGTGTCCTATAGAGCGAAAAATACAGTATATCCTGCCTCCCTGGAGAAGCATTCAAGGGGGCTTTTGGCACAAGAAAAAGCTGCGTGCAACATGGCTCCTGAAACCTCCCCCTCTTCCCCACCCCCAGACCACTTGAAAATGACTGAGGGTCTTGGCAAGCCCTTAACAAATGTCTCTATAATGTACAGTGCTGGATGCTAGGTGGTTCCTAATGGTATTTATATTGCTTCTCACATATATTGCATTTTATTGCATTCCGCAGTATTCAAACTGCGAATACAATGGAATACAATATTCATTTTCTTTTATTGTTTCACACAATTTACACACCGCTTGGTTGTAAACAACAATAACAACCTCAAAGCAGTTTACGGAAAAGGTAGAACAATAAGATTGTCAATAAAAACAATTAACAACAATAATTTGAAACGTTCAGAGAGATTAAAACCATCAGTAAACTAAAAGCAGATGAAAACACGAATCAGTGTTCTAAACACCTGGGTAAGCTTGTCAAAAGAAGGAGATAAGGAAAACACAATTAAATATCAATATTTTATATTTATATTTATGTTGTGAACCGCCCTGAGATCTATGGGTATAGGGCGGCATACAAATTTAATTAATCATCACCATCATCTTCCAAAACCTTCTGACATAAAAGCTGCCTTGACTGTCCCTGCTAAAAAGGCTCTGCGTCCTGGGTACCTATTGGCCAGTTTTCTTAAAGCATAAATAACAAGCTGGGCTTTCTGCCCTTGTCTAGCCAATCAGAACAGGATCCTGCTTGTTTCATTTCAGGGTCCAGCTCAAACCTACACTTTCAGTTCCAGGAAATAACCTCAGGGACTCTGGGCTGGAGAACACACACCCCTTCGAGGCTGAATCCAAGGCACGGCTGGTGGGGCCCATAAATACAGTTAGCCTTAGGAAGAGCCATAAGGTGTCTAAAGCTTTCACTTTACTGGTCAAAGTTCAGGTCAGAATAGTATTTAGTTCTGAGTCTCATCCTCCCTTCTGTAAGAAATATGGGTCAGGCAGACTGCATGTGTAGATTGTTTTTACTTTTTAAAAAGGTAAAGGTAAAGGAACCCCTGACCATTAGGTCCAGTCGTGACCGACTCTGGGGTTGTGGAACTCATCTCGCTTTACTGGCCGAGGGAGCCGGCGTACAGCTTCCAGGTCATGTGGCCAGCATAACTAAGCCGCTTCTGGAGAACCAGAGCAGCGCATGGAAACGCTGTTTACCTTCCCGCCAAAGCAGTACCTATTTATCTACTTGCACTTTTATGTGCTTTCGAACTGCTAGGTTGGCAGGAGCTGGGACTGAGCAACGGGAGCTCACCCTGTCACGGGGATTCGAACCGCCGACCTTCTGATCGGCAAGTCCTAGGCTCTGTGGTTTAACCCACAGTGCCACCCGCGCACCTTTTTCTTTTTATCTATGTCATTTTAAATTGTTATTGATATTAATGTTGTATTTTTAGTTTCAGATTTTATAATTTATGTGGAAATGTTTTCCATTTGGTTGTGTACCTTCTGATGTGTTTTATTTGTTGTTTATGACTTTTGTTATTTTGGTAATTATGTAAGTCTTGTCATGTTGTAAGCCGCCTTGAGCATTGTTTTAACTACGGAAAGGCGGCATACAAATAAAATGATGATGATGATGATGATGTTGGATCCATGGTTTACAAATGCATAAACCCTGCTACCCTGTCTGTTTTACCAAGGATTTCCTTGTGCCAGCCCTGACTCTTCTTCCTTTCCTTCCTGCATTTACATTCTGCCCAAGTAACTGCATCCTCTGGGCTGCTCACAAATTGAAAATAATTAAAATGCAAAAATGAAATAATTTAGCAAGCAAGGCAACAGAGACAAAAGTAGCACCAGCATAGAATGAGCATAAAAAACTGTGTGAAGCAGCATAAAAATGGTTTAGAACAGGGGCGTCCAACTTCCAAGAGTCTACTCACACAATTAATATGTGGCAGTGATCTAAACCAGCCTTTCTCAACCTGTAGGTTCCCAGATGTTGTTGGACTACAACTCCCATCACCCCTAGCCAGCAAGGCCAGAGCTCAGGGATGATGGGAGTTGTAGTCCAACAACATCTGGGGACCCACAGTTTGAGAACCGCTGATCTAAACCCCTTTTGGGGGAGATTCAGGTAAAAGTTGTTGAGTTTTTTGTAGGGAGGAAAGTCCCGTTTGGGGGGGGGGTCAGGTCAAACTTGTTGTGCTTCTTTTGGGGAGGAACGTTCCATATTTTGCGGGGTTCAGTTCAGAATTGTTGAGCTATTTTGGGAACGTCCCGCTTATGTGCAGGTTAAGGTCTAATAAATGAAAACAGGTGCTCAGCGATAGAGCACTAAGGAGACAGTCAGCCTTGCAGCGAAAAGGCCGGATGGAGGAGCCAGCAATCTACCGCAATCTACCAAAACCTACCAGGGATCGACCAGTCAATCCAGATCGACCTGTTGGACATCCCTGGTTTATAAGATGAATCCATTTCATTGGATGACTCCCTAGATGTGTGTTCTTCAACTTCAGGTCCCTGGATGTTGTGGGACTACATTTCCCATCAGTCTCAGCCAGCAGGACCAGCAGTCAGGGATGGTGGGAGTCGTAGTCTTAACAACACCTGGAGATTACATAGCCTCTCCACTAGCATCACTGCTCTAGATAAAAAGTTTCCCTCTTTCCACATCATCATCATCAGCACCACTCCTTTATAAAACCTCATGGACGATCAATGTCATGAACTGTGTGTTCCTTAAGGCTGTTTGCAATGGCTGGATCACTCACCTCTGGGGATTGTGAAATAACTCCGGGGCGTCGGATCCCAGCATTTGGCCACTGTTAGGCTGATAGGGCTGGAGAAAAAAATATAGAAAACAGATATATATTATGAAGGGAACGAAAACAGAACACTCAAAGGAATGACCTTATTACGTTCTGTCAATGGCTGCCTATCAGGCTTCCCACCAGCCACATGGTTCTGGGCTCCTAATCTCACCACCTCTCCGCCCTTTGATTCTACGCTGAGCTCTTCACTCAATAAAGCTCAAGTGCTAGAGTTCATCCCAGACAACACCACTTCAAACTCACAGGGGTGGGAAGGAGAGAGACCTTATTTTGATTGCCCTGCCCCATTAAAACTCAACAACAAAAAGCGACGACACCTCACTGCATTTAGTAAAGTAGTGCGCCAAGGAGAAAACTCCTCTCTGTGCCTTGAGATACCAGTTTTCTACATGCAGGAAGTTTTAAAAAGAATAGCTTGAAGGTTATCTGATATATCATGTCCTTACATCTCCTCCCTCCATGCAGCCCAATGTGGGACAATCATAGAATCATAGAGTTGGAAGAGACCACAAGGGCCATCGAGTCCAACCCCCTGACAAGCAGGAAACACCATCAGAGCACTCCTGACATATGGTTGTCAAGCCTCTGCTTAAAGACCTCCAAAGAAGGAGACTCCACCACACTCCTTGGCAGCAAATTCCACTGTCGAACAGCTCTTACTGTCAGGAAGTTCTTCCTAATGTTTAGGTGGAATCTTCTTTCTTGTAGTTTGGATCCATTGCTCCGTGTACGCTTCTCTGGAGCAGCAGAAAACAACCTTTCTCCCTCCTCTATGTGACATCCTTTTATATGTTTGAACATGGCTATCATATCACCCCTTAACCTCCGCTTCTTCAGGCTAAACATGCCCAGCTCCCTTAGCCGTTCCTCATAAGGCATCGTTTCCAGGCCTTTGACCATTTTGGTTGCCCTCCTCTGGACACGTTCCAGTTTGTCAGTGTCCTTCTTGAACTGTGGTGCCCAGAACTGGACACAGTACTCCAGGTGAGGTCTGACCAGAGCAGAATACAGTGGCACTATTACTTCCCTTGATCTAGATGCTATACTCCTATTGGTGCAGCCCAGAATTGCATTGGCTTTTTTAGCTGCCGCGTCACACTGTTGGCTCATGTCAAGTTTGTGGTCAAGTTTTCACAAGTTTTGTGGACAAACCCCACAGCACTCACTGTGAGTCTCAGGGTCTGGGTTTTGAGTGCAGTCTTATTTACACAGCCCCCCGAATACACCACAACATTGTCTCTTCATAACCCCGAGCCTGAACCCAGGCTGATTTTGGGAGTCAAATCAAATGAAATCATTTATTATACAGTCTCAGACCAGATAAAACACAGCACACAAAGGATGAAAAGTATGAGCATTAAAACACACGCTTGTATAAAAGACAATATAATACAAAGGACAGATTTTGGGAGGTTGCTCTCTGCACTGGCTGCAGTCAATGAGCTGTACCAAGTTTTACTCAGAGTATACCCACTGAAATTAGTGCTGACTCCATTAATGTTAATGGGTTTACTCTGAGTAGGACCACCACCGGATACAAGACATCAACTGCAGGAGTAACACAAATGCACACCGCCCTGGCGTTGTTACAATCACTCACCCCGGCTTGGAGACGATTTCCCGCAAGACCCGCACTGCGTCATCGTTGCTCATGTTCTCGAAGTTGACCTCGTTCACCTGGAGTGCAACAGGTGAGGAATCTGTTATCGCCAGGGGTTTCCCCTCCAAATCGTAAGAAGGAGAAGAGGAGCCTTGCTTTGGGTCAGATCAAAGGCCAAGCATTCCGTTCTCAATGTAGCCAATCAGAAGCAGAGGTGGATTATGGGGAGGAAGGCTGGCTTTCCCACAATGGGCACCAAGCCGAAAGGGAACTGCAGGGGGTGCCACTGAAATTGCAGTGCAAGAGGCATGGGGGGGGATTTCAGTGGTGCACTGGGTGCCACTGAAATTCTAAAGCGCAAAATCTGCCACTGTCAGAAGCCCAGGAGGAGGTCATGAGCACAACAGCTGCCTCCCGGCTGAACATTGAACGCTCATCGCTGAGAGCCCTACTCCAAGGAAGTACATCAGGTATGCGGATCCTGTGGCCCTCCAGATGTAGCTGGACTCCCATCAACCCCAGCAAGCATGACCAATGGATGATGGGGAATTGTAGTTCAATATCTGGAAGGCCGACGGTTCCCCACACCTGGCATACAAGGATGGCTCAGTCCCCAATGTGGCCCTCTAGACCCGTCTACCTGGCCCTCGGGGATCTCGTCAGGCCACACCACCTCCCTAGCCCTACTTATCATCCTCCTGGGGTTTTTTCGCCTGGATGGATTGCGTCCTTCAACTCGGATGATGCCTCTTGCTTGACAAGGTGGAGGACAGAGAGGCGTATGTGTGGAAACCAACCTGCTGTACAAAGATTAAATTTTAAATTCATTGCACCGCCCACTTTTGCCTCTGGCCCCACCCACCAGTGGGAGCATCTCCACCCCCATCGTTCAGCCCGGACACTGAGGTCCAGCACCGAGGGCCTTCTGGCGGTTCCCTCCCTGCGAGAAGTGAGGTTACAGGGAACCAGGCAGAGGGCCTTCTTGGTAGTGGCACCTGCCCTGTGGAACGCCCTCCCAGCAGATGTCAAGGCAATAAACAACTATTTTACTTTGAAAAGACAACTGAAGGCAGCCATGTTTAGGGAAGTTTTTAATGTCTGATGCTGTATTGTTTTTAATAATCGGTTGGAAGCTGCCCAGAGTGGCTGGGGAAACCCAGCCAGATGGGTGGGGTAGAAATAATAAATAATAAATAATAAATAATAATAATTATTATTATTATTATTATTATTATTATTATTATTATGTGGCCCCCAGAAGGCTGCCTGCCAGCAAATCGCCAACAGGACAAGAGACTCGTCCTGCGCTTGCAGGAATTCATGGTGCCCCACAACTGTGGAAAGCGATGACCCCCTAATGGCATGGCTCTCAAAGAGGATTATTAGACCAATTCATGGACGATAAGGCTATCACAGACTACTACTAGCCACAACGGCTATGCTCTTCCTCCATGGCTGGAGGCTCCTGATTACCGGTTGGCGGAAACCACAGGAGGGGAGGGGGTCCTTGTGCTCCGGTCTTGCTGGTGGGCTTCCCATAGGAGCTTCTGGTTGGCCACTGTGAGAACAGAATGCTGGATCTGCTGGGCCTTCGCCCCGATTCAGAGGCCAAGCTCTTCTTAGGAGCCTATGCTTGTGCCAACCTGTAGGAGCATGTCCCCTGGTTCGATCCTTCCGTCAGCTGCCACAGCGCCGCCTTTCATGATGGAGCCTATGTAGATGCCACCATCTCCTCGGTCGTTGCTCTGGCCCACGATGCTGATTCCGAGGAAGTTGTATTTTTCTGGAAAGGAGAGAGGAGGAAGAAGAAGAAGAGAAGAAAAAGAAGAGTTTGGATTTGATATCCTGGTTTATCACTACCCTAAGGAGTCTCAAAGCGGCTAACGTTCTCCTTTCCCTTCCTCCCCCACAACAAACACTCTGTGAGGTGAGTGAGGCTGAGAGACTTCAAAGAAGTGTGACCTACATTGGCTCCCAGTACGTTTCTGAGCACAATTCAAAGTGTTGGTGCTGACCTTTAAAGCCCTAAACGGCCTCGGTCCAGTATACCTGAAGGAGCATCTCCACTCCCATCGTTCTGCCCAGACACTGAGGTGTAGCACCAAGGGCCTTCTGGTGGTTCCCTCACTGCAAGAAGCCAAATTACAGGGAACCAGGCAGAGGGCCTTCTTGGTAGTAGCACCCGCCCTGTGGAACGCCCTCCCACCAGATGTCAAAGAGAAGAACAACTACCAGACTTTTAGAAGACAGCTGAAGGCAGCCCTGTTTAGGGAAGCTTTTAATGTTTAACAGACTACTGTATTTTAATACTTTGTTGGAAGCCGCCCAGAGAGGGTGGGGAAACCCAGCCAAATGGGCAGGGTATAAATAATAAATTATTATTATTATTATTATTATTATGACTGGCCCAAGGTCACCCAGCAGCTGCATGCGGAGGAGCGGAGACGTGAACCCGGTTCACCAGATTACGAGTCTACCGCTCTTAACCACTATGTGCAAATGGAGGAGGGTCACAGGTGGCCTTCTAAATATACCCCCCTTGTCCCCTGCTGGAGGGGTCTAGGGCTCTCTTCCCCATCCACCACGCAGGACTGAGCCATTCCGATGGGGAAGGGAGAGAAGCAAGGTTAGCTGAGGCATGGAACTAGCAATTTTGAAAGACAAGTCACCATGGCCTTACGACCAGGGTAGCCAACACGGTGTCATCCGGATGTTGTCAGACTCCCAATGCCCACTATAACAATTGTGTTTTGAAATATATCCCCTAATTGCAACTTTTTATGTCTTTGTTTTGTTCATGTACAAAAAAACCACCAAGGCAGGGAGTCATACAGGGACACAGCAGGGAGCTTCCTTTCTGGATGTTGCTCCCAGTTCAGGGACAGGGAACTTCCATAAGTTGTTGAATTCCAACTCCCATCATCCCTGACCACTGGCCATGCTGGCTGGGGTTGATGGGAGTTGGAGCCCAACAAGATCTTGACGGCACCATGCCATTTCCCCCAGTTTCCAAAGTACGGAGTTACTGGTTGTGCACACCTAGCTTGTTTCGGTAGAGGCAAGATGGGTAAAGAGTCATTGCCACAAATGTGCACATTTTGCGACTGCGTTTACAATTCCTTGTGAGCATGCCATGACATAACAGCAGCTCAGCCAATGGGGCTTACCCATGTTGAGGGTGACGGTGATGATGTTCAGGGACATGGTAGAATCTGTGATGCTGCTGAAGGAAGACGACTGAAAAACAAAAAGGAGAAGCTGGCAATAATTGCAGTTTCTGCAGTTCAGAACGTGGTGATTGCAAGAGTCGGCTGGGCATTGACATAGGCAGAAAGCCAAGAAACAGTTCAAAGGCCAACTTCTGTGTAAAGGTAAAGGGACCCCTGACCATTAGGTCCAGTCATGGCCGACTCTGGGGTTGCAGTGCTCACCTCGCTTTATTGGCCAAGGGAGCCGGCGTACAGCTTCCGGGTCATGTGGCCAGCATGATTAAGCTGCTTCTGGCAAACCAGAGGAGTGCACCAAAACGCCGTTTACCTTCCCGCCAGAGTGGTACCTATTTATCTAGTTGCATTTTGACGTGCTTTTGAACTGCTAGGTTGGCAGGAGCAGGGACCGAGCAACGGGAGCTCACTCTGTCACGGGGATTCAAACCGCTGACTTCTGATTGGCAAGTCCTAGGCTCTGTGGTTTAACCCACAGTGCCACCCGCGTCCCAACTTCTGTGGCAGCCTTATAAATAAGCTTACAACATGAGGCTGCATGCCCACACATACCTATGTTAGCCTCGAAAACAAGAGGAAAAGAAGACATTTCTTTCATTGCCTGGGGATGGTTGTTACTCACCACAGGTGACAAGGCAACAGCTATTTACAATTTTGTCTAAAGCAGGGATGGGGAACCTGCAGCTCTCTAGATGTTTTTGGACTACAATTCCCATCATCCTGGAACACCAGCCATGCTGGCTGGGGCTGATGGGAGTTGGAGTCCCACACTATTTGGAGGGCCACAGGTCCCGTCCCCCTTCATGCTCTTAACGAAGGCCGCAAACTCCAAACCACAAAGGCTTACCCGGTCAATCTGTCGCATCTTCTGTTTCCGGCGACGGCGTTTGTGTTTCCGGATGAGACGGGACGAAGTGCTTTGTTCTGTGGAGCTACTCAACCTGGGAGGGGTGGAAAGAGGACCAAAAAAGAGAAATCAAGAGAAAATTCAGAACACATGTTGACGGGTTGCAAAATTTGCTTTCTTTTGCCCTCAGAGTTGAGCCTGCTGCCGGTGAAAACACACTGCGTTGTATCCAACTCAGAATGAATGGATAAAACTTTATTTGCGTTAGCCATCGGCCATAGCAACAAAAGAGCATTGCGATATACACAGAACAAAATAAAAAGTCGATTATAATAAAACACAGTTTAGAATGCTGAATCAGCAGTCAAACAGTGGACCTTATTCTGATTGCCCCAGCTAAAAAAACCTTGCAACCTTTGCTGTCATCTGCTCCTCTTGATCTGCCAAGAGAAAAGACACCATGGCAGTGGTTGGACGACCTGGAATGGACAATAAAAGAGGGGTGATAATCTTGTTCCTCAGGTCTTTGTAAAGAGTGCACGCCAGGAGGGCATGCGCCACTGATTCGGTGCTGCCATACCCCGCAGCGACACAAGCGTTTTTCATGTGGAATCTGTTGGAATTGTCCCTCAAGTACATCCGAGGGCTACACATTCAGTCTTGCGAGGGTAAAAGCACATCTATATTTTGGAATTGCTAGGTTGTACAGATAGGGTGCTCTGCTCAGAATAAACCCACAGAAATCAATGGGCTTAGGTTAGTCATGTCCACCCACTTAAGGCAGCCTTTCTCAACCTGGGGGTCCCCAGATGTTGTTGAACTACAACTCCCATCACCCCTAGCTAGCGAGGCCAGAGCTCAGGGGTGATGGGAGTTGTAGTCCAACAACATCTGGGGACCTACAGGTTGAGAACTGCTGATTTAAGGGATGGTGAAAACCTGCTGAGAACAGAATTGAAGGGACAAATAGACCTTGTCCCTGCCTCTGGTCTTCTTACACCCCTAGCATATCCCATAGGAACATAGGAACCTGCTTTACGTGGAGCCAGACCATTGCTCCAGCTAGCTCAATATTGCCTAAACACTGGCAGCCACTTCTTCGGATTTCAGACAGCTGCTACCTGGAGATGAACCCAGAACCTTATGCATGCGAAGCAGGTGCTCTACCACTAAGCTATGCTCTTTCCCCTAAGCAAAGCAATGGGGAAGATGCTTTGAAAGGCCACTAGGAAAGTCTATCTCAAGGGGAGACCCTTAGGGTAAGGGGCTCTCCTTCAGATGGTGGACTTTTGCTTCCCCTCAGTTCTTTTCCCACCACAGCTTTGGGGGTGAAGACAACTGGGTTTTGGGGGAGCACTCTTTGTTGGCCCTCTTGTACTCCTTCCTGCCAATGATGGTCCGATGGGCAGACTAGGAAGGTGCAGTTGGTCCTTAAAGAGACTCCACTGAAAAGCCGTCACCTGCTGTCTAGTGGCTCACCACAAGGGGGAGACGCAGGGTGATGCAGCCGTTCTCGACTCCCAAAGTTTCCAAAACAATCTCGTTTCTCAAAAAGACGGGAAGGAAAGCGGAATGGAAACAATGTGCTGTTTAAATTAGGCATCCCACAAACAATGATCTCACTCCATATGTTTATCTCACAGGGGAAGAGCTCAGGGATTGTCAGCGCTGTTGCACAGACCACATTAACTGTGATTCACTCAAGCAACCCAAATAGGAAGGGGCAGTTCTGTTATTTGGTTGCAAACCCGGGTTTGCCGCTGACTGGACCAAGCCAAGCTAAGCCAGACTGTGGGAACCTGTAACCTGTCGCAATTGATGGAGGAGAAATTCAAACTCATTTGCTATTGACGAGAAATTCCCTAACTCTGCCTCACAAACCAATATGCAAACCAAAACATGGCTATTCTCTGAAAATTCACACTTCTTTGATTTTTATGATGCAGTTGTCCAACCGAGCAATATGTTTATAAATGCATGTATTAGGGGAGAAGTGCATAAAAATGCATTGATTCAATAGATACTACGAAAATCCACTGTGTTGGGGGAAACTAATAACAAAAATGTGTACATGACTCAAAATTGCGCGCATATATATGGTGAAATTTGCACTAAAATGCTGGTTAAAAAAAAAGTCATTGTGAAAATGTAAGTCACAAATTGCTGTGGAAATGTCGAGAACTGCAAAAATGAGTAACTTAAGAGAACCAAGGTCTCGCCTGTAGGGAAAGGAGTTTTAAACCTGCAAACCCTCCTGGCACTGCATTCCCAAATCTGAATAATTCCTTCTCCCCGCCCCCCCCGCCCCACAGAAAGCCTGCAAATTGATTAATAGCTACTTTTTGCCAAGGGAGCGCAGTGTTTGGTAGGAATTGACAGATCTCTCCATTCACAATGAAAAGGAAAGATCTGGGCTCGGCTGCAGAGCATCCCCTTTGCATGCAGAAGGTTCCCTGGCAGGTGTTGCATTCGATGCAACTCTACATCTATCCAGAAAAGAAAAGAAAACAGAGTACTTACTCTTCGGCTGAATGCATAGCATACATTTAAAGCACACCGCTAAGAATCCTGTGAACCGTAGTTTGTTAAGGGTGCTGGGAACTTTAGCTCTGTGAGGGGCAAGCGACAGTTCCTGGGATTCGAGGGTGGTGCTTCAACTGTACGCGGACTCTCTTATCTATGCAGACGCATATTTCTCAAAGAAGAAAGAAGACCAGAGTACTCACGCACAGGTGGGGCATGAGGAATGTGCCCCTTCTCTTAACACAATTTCCAGGCCTCCTTTCTCAGCCCCCCAGTGCTCACCCCCCCCCGCGCAAGTTGCTGGTGCCCGACTTGAGAACACAAGTGCACTTGCGCCGGTGTATCCTTTTGCAATGCCAGACAAAAAGCTTTGTTATTCTGTCCTCTTGCTGTCGGTGCAGAATAATCCATCCCCTTCCATATCTCAGGAGCTGCTGCTGCCCCCCCCTTCCCCAAGCTCCCCCACCGACGGAATGTCTCATCCGCTTATGAACATCATCTTTGTAATATTAAACAACATACCTTGGCACATTCCACCCCGACGCACTGGATGGCCGGCCAGCCAGCCAGTCACTCGCTTGTGCCAAGACTCCCTCCCTCAGCTCAGAAAGGGAAAGGGGGGAAAGGGGCCCTCCATAGCAGTCTCTGCAGCTGTTCGTTTTATTTTATTTATTCTTCTACAGGGAAGGATAAAAATCTGGAGCGGGGCGGGGAAAGGGGTGTTTTGAAAATGTACACCGGGGCTGGATCTAGTTGGATCCAGCGTGCAACGCTCCAGTAACCCACTTTGGGCTGCTCTTAATCCAATCCCAGCATGGATCGTTCACCGCTACAGAAATATTCCACTTATTTTTTTAAAAAAACGGGAGAGGAAAGTGGTGGGGGTTAAAGATGCCGTGTTCCTTTGAGAAGCCTAAAAGGGGGTAGGGGAAGAAGAAAATGGATCAGAAACAACCATCTCATTGGGCAAGCGGAGGGTGGGTGTCTTTTAAGAAGTTGGTGGCAGAGCACCCTCCTTCCCACGCGGAGAACAAACCCGCCATCCCAATCTCTTGGCATCTTGAGCGCAGTCCAAGTTTGGCTTTTTTAAAAAATAAAAAGGACAGGTGTGGAAGGCTTAGTGACATCGGAGGGACAAAAATTATTATTTTTTTGGTATTTAATACCTCCTAGGCTTAATAATAATAAAAAGGTAAAGGACCCCTGGACGGTTAAGTCCAGTCAAAGGCGACTATGGGGTTGTAGCGCTCATCTTGCTTTCAGGCCGAGGGAGCCAGTGTTTGTTCACAGAAAGCTTTCCGGGTTATGTGGCCAGCAGGACTAAACTGCTTCTGATGCAATGGGACACCATGACGAGTGCCAGAGGGCACGGAAATGCCGTTTATCTTCCCACTGAAGCAGTACCTATTTATCTACTTGCACTGGTATGTTATTGAACTGCTAGGCTGGCAGGAGCTGGAACAGAGTAACGGGAGCTCACCCCATCGTGGGGATTCGAAATGCTGACCTTCTGATCGGCAAGCCCAAGAGTCTCCGTGGTTTAGACCACAGCACCACCCACCTAGGCTTAATAAGGTAACTGTTGGAAGTGGAAAGTCTTGTACAGTCATACCTCGGGTTACAGATGCTTCAGCTTGCGTTTTTTCAGGTTGCAGACCGCCAAAACCCAGAAGTACTGGAACGGGTTACTTCTGGGTTTCGGCGGCCACGCATGTGCAGAAGCGCTAAATCACGCTTTGCGCATGCGTGCAGAATCGCAACCAGCGTGTGTGCAGACGTGCCGCTGCAAGTTGCAAACACTGCGGGTTGCGAATGTGCATCATGCATGGATCACGTTCACAACCCGAGCATCCACTGTATACGGTGGGTTGGCAGGTGTGTGCATAACCATTGAAGGCAGGTTATTGGAGGGTGTAACTTGGATTAAAGTCTTGCCATTTGTTCCATTTGTTCCATTTGATAGTTGACAACAACTGTTACGACAAAGTCCTTCATGACAAATCTCTTAATAGGAACCCGGGAAGCTGCCTTATTTCCATTATTTCATCTTAGCTCAGTGTTGTCCATGGGGTCTCTCCCTACCTGCAGAGGCAGGGACTGAACAATTGCTGAATTACGGACCTTCCCTTGAGGCACAGCAGCAAAGGAAGGTGCCGAAATTCTGAGCCAGGTCAAGCTCAGTATTGACTGGCAGCAGCCCCCAGGGCTTCAGGAAGGGGGCAACCCTGAGCAATGGTGGACCATTGGCAGACTCGCTACGAGGCACCTTCCTGCACTCCTTGTCTCGCGCACAGGCCAGTCTGTTACCTGCTCGTGTTTTCGTCATTGTCGGAGTCGATGAAGCTGCTGGACTCCAACTCGCTGCTCATCATGGTGGAAGAGCTGTCGTAGCCCGGCGGGTGCTCCCGGTGTCGGTCCAGCTTTGGGTGCCCATTGATGCGGGAGACTGCAGAGGAAGGAAGGCAACAGTACACTGAGAAGGGCTCTGGACAAGGAGACCCGGGTTCTAATCCACGGTCAGGTGAAAAACTTGCTAAGTGATCGGGAACTCATCAGTATTTCTTAGCCTAAACAGCCACGCAGGGCTGTTGTGAGACTAAAAGACCAATGTATTTGACCCTGAGCTCGTGGCTGAAAGGGTGGAGTGTAAAGGCGGCTATTATTCATCACTAAGAGCGCTGTTGTTGTTGTATTTATAGTAATATATATTATATGATTTTTTCATGATCAATCACTCCATGATGTTTAATGGGAAGCGATTCCTAAATGGACCAAAAAAATGATTGCACCACAACAATGAGTGAAACCTGGAAGAATCACACAGGTTAGAGATTCAACTACTTTCGTTGTTTTTAAATTCTCTTTTCTTGTTTTAAAATTCTCTTTTCTTTATTCCCCGGCATTCAATCACACCCCTAGTACATCCGTCTTCAGCCTTTTCAGACTAGTATCCACCTTTCGTCCAAATGTGCACAAGGACCCATTTGTTAATTTTTTCACCAGCTGTGCATAGTGGTTGTGGGTTGCGCTATCATTGCTTTGCAGAAGATACCAGCAAAAACAAACACATGCCAGTACAGAGGGGCGCAGATTCAAGAACACAACTGGAGGTTTGTTTCAAGACCAGCAGCTTCGCCTGTGAGCGTGTGTGTGTGTGTGTGAAAATCGAATAAGGATTAGCACCTAGCAGGAGAAAATTCTTTCCAGATTACTTCGTCGTGTTCAATAAAGAGCAAACATGTTTGGGCACCTCCAAATATCTTCTGTTGACCCAGCTTCCCCTTGTCAGACTTGACTGCCAAATTCTGAACTGAAAACCTGTGGGGATGGGAAGGAAGGTCTCCCTCTCTCTCTCTCTCTCTCTCTCTCTCTCACACACACACACACACACACCCTGGTGGAAAGGAGTGGCTAGTCCCAGGGGTCTGATATAGACCCTGAGCATAGATTCCTCATTCATTGCCAGGTCAATGATTGATCCCCCAAAGTAAAACACACACACACACACACACACACACACACACACACCATCCTCTCCCACCTATTATGAAGAATTAAGGGCCCACATCAGCTGTTTATGTGAACTGGTTCTGAGAGATGGAGGGGAGAGGGAAATTCACAAAGACAACTCTGAAAACAAGGGCGGAAGAAGAGACCCAGAAAAAAAAAGTTCACTCCCCACACCCATCAACTTGGGAAGAAATATTCTTCTGCCGCATCTCTGATATTGCTTTAGGACAGTGAAGGGAGATGACAAGCCCTGGGGACCAAATCTGGCCCGCCAGCTCTGTCTGGCTATTGAGAACCCTCCCCAGGCTGTGACCCTTAGATCCCAAAGCTGTGCTCCACAAGAACTCTGCTCTGCGTTTTTTAGCTTGAACTAGAATGCGTCGTTGAGCTTTTGATATACCGTATTTTTCGCCCTATAGGGCACACCGGCCCATAGGGCGCACCTAGCTTTGGGGGGGGGGAATAAAGAAAAAAAAATATTTCCCCCCCCAGACACGGGACTGGGGCGGGGGAAGCTTCCCCCGACCCCAGCCCCCAGAACAGGCTGCTATCCGCAAGCCTAGGGAGCCCGGTGGGAACTCCCGCGGGCTCCCAAGTCTTGCAGATAGCTTCCTGAAGCCTGGAGAGCGAGAGGGGTCGGTGTGCACCAACCCCTCTCGCTCTCCAGGCTTCAGCGAAAGCCTGCATTCGCCCCATAGGACGCACACACATTTCCCCTTCATTTTTGGAGGGGGAAAAGTGCGTCCTATAGGGCGAAAAATATGGTACTTCTCATTTGCCTGGATGCTGCAAAAGCTTAACTTTTGCAGAGCTGGCATGTAGTCTGCTGTACAGTGTTGCCCTGGTTGATCTGCCACCGTTGGCCCTGCCCCACCACTGGTATGCAGCCCCCCAAAATTTGTCCATTAGGAAACGTGGCCCTCGGAGCTGAAAAGGGTTCCCCACCCCCAAATAAAGAGACAGAGAGAGAGATTAGGCAAACTTTCACAAGAAAGTTTCAGGCCCGAATATTACTTGCTAAAAATTGGAAAACACAAGAACTATCAACAGTGGAAGATTGGCAGATGAAGATGATGGACTTTTCGGAGCTAGCTGACCTGACTGGAAGAATCCACGACCAGAAAGAAGAGGAGTTCCAAGAGGATTGGAGGAAATTTAAGGACTATTTGAATAAATATTGTAACATAAAAAATTTGAAATTACTTGAAAGAAAACAAATAGGCCTAGGATTAAATTAAGTTATAATTCAATAAATGGGATTTAGAATGTTAAGGAAAGTGAATAAGATGGACTATAATTGGAAATTGTTTTAGTTTAATAATGATATTGGGAAGCTGTAACTTTTAACTACAAGGAAACTCAGAAGGGAGGGACTTGAGGAAGTCAACTAAGATGCTTAAAAGGTTGGATTTGTGAAGAATTAAGTTTGTTGTTATTGTTTATCTGTTTATTGTTCTTTTTTCTGTTTTTGTGTACCACTCTGCTTTGTGGTTTTTGTTATCATTGTGGAAAATCTAATAAAAACTTATTACAAAAGCACACAAGAACGTTTCAGGCGTGTGTTTCTTCAAGCCAAATGTTCTCAGCGCAGCACTGGAGGGAAGCAGGACTGTGTAAGCAGAAGATGGCGAGGCTCTGCAGGAAGGGAGGGATCCCTCCAGGGTGCAGCTAGCAAACTTCCCTTGCGGGATCCCCTTGCCCACTCGATCACTTCAATCTGATGAACTGATACCGTTACAGGTGCTATATGAAATCTGTTCTGCACTGGTAAGAAATCAACCTTGCATTGTGACAGCACCTAACCCTGTGGAACTCCCTGCCTATTGACATCAGTGCCTCCGGTACACTCCTGTGGCACCTGCTTAAAACATTTTTGGTTGAGCAAGCCTATCCACATGTGCATAAGTTGGCATTTGCTTTAACCTGGTTTTAGCTTATTATAGATTTAAATTGCACTTGGATTTTTTTTTTTAAAAAAAATACCTGATATCTGCTTTTATATATACATACAGTGGTACCTTGGGTTACATACGCTTCAGGTTACATACGCTTCAGGTTACACACTCTGCTAACCCAGAAATAGTGCTTCAGGTTAAGAACTTTACCTCAGGATAAGAACAGAAATTGGGTCTCCGGCAGTGCGGCAGCAGCAGGAGGCCCCATTAGCTAAAGTGGTGCTTCAGGTTAAGAACAGTTTCAGGTTAAGAACGGACCTCCAGAACGAATTAAGTACTTAACCTGAGGTACCACTGTAAACTGCTTGGTGGTTTTATAAATTTTGGTTAAAAAAAAAAAGCAAAAGTGGCCCTGATGGATGAAGCCAACCCGCTGCATAGTCCAACATTCTGTTTCCCCGCATTGACCAAGCAGTTGTTTCTAGGAAGTCTGAAGGCAGATCCTGAAGGAAACTTCGTGCCCATGTTCTTGCTCCCCGGCTGCTGTTATTATTCAGTGGTAGACTGCCTCTGAACTTGGAGGCTCAATTCAGCCCTCATGGCTAACAGACAACAGCAAGACATCCTACAGGATTCTCCCCTTTCAAAGCCATCTGTCGCCACGTCTTGTGGGAGCAAGTTCCATGCATCAGTCATGCGCTGCATCACTAGCAAGTACTTCCTTTTTTCTGCCATAGGGGAGCTGCCTTGTGCAGAGTCCACCTAGCTAAGTACAGTGGTACCTCGGGATAAGTACTTAATTCGTTCTGGAGGTCCGTTCTTAACCTGAAACTGTTCTTAACCTGAAGCACCACTTTAGCTAATGGGGCCTCCTGCTGCTGCCGCGCCGCCGGAGCACGATTTCTGTTCTCATCCTGAAGCAAAGTTCTTAACCCGAGGTACTATTTCTGGGTTAGCGGAGTCTGTAACCTGAAGCGCATGTAACCTGAAGCGTATGTAACCCGAGGTATCACTGTACAGTCTACACCAGGGGTCAGCAACCTTTTTCAGCCGTGGGCCAGTCCACCGTCCCTCAGACCATGTGGTGGGCCGGACTATATTATGAAAAAATAAAGGTAAAGGTAAAGGTACCCCTGCCCGTACGGGCCAGTCGTGTCCGACTCTAGGGTTGCGTGCTCATCTCGCTCTAGAGGCTGTGAGCCGGTGCTGTCCGAAGACACTTCCGGGTCACGTGGCCAGCGTGACGAAGCTGCAGCTGGCGAGCCAGCACCAGCGCAGCACACGGAAACGCCGTTTACCTTCCCGCCAGAGTGGTACCTATTTATCTACTTGCACTTAAGAGTGCTTTCGAACTGCTAGGTGGGCAGGAGCTGGGACCGAATGACGGGAGCTCACCCCACCGCGGGGATTCAAACCGCGGACCATACGATCGGCAAGTCCTAGGCACTGTGGTTTTACCCACAGCGCTAACCTCGTCCCTTAGGTATGAAAAAATAATAATGAACAAATTCCTATGCCCCACAAATAACCCAAGAGATGCATTTTAAATAAAAGCACACATTCTACTCATGTAAAAACACCAGGCAGGCCCCACAAATAACCTAGAGATGCATTTTAAATAAAAGGACACATTCTACTCATGTAAAAACATGCTGATTCCCGGACCGACCGCTGGCCGGATTGAGAAGATGATTGGGCTGCATCCGGACCCCGGGCCTTAGTTTGCCTACCACTGGGTCTACACTGATTGGCTGCAGCTCCCCAGGGTTTTCAAGGCAAGGAGTCTCTCCCAGCCCTACTTGAAGACGCTATTGGGGACCTTCTGCATGCAAAGCAGCTGTTGTACCACTGAGCTACAGCCTTTCCCTTAAGATATAGGAACGTACGCTGAGTCAGACCGCTGGGTCTATCTAGGCTAAGTATTGTCTGGCTCTCCAGGGTTTCAGACAAGGAGCCTTCCCCCAGTCCTACCAGGAAATGCCAGGGATTGAACATCGGACTGCCTGCATTTAAAACAGATGCTCCAGGACGGACCTATAGTCTTCCTTATCCTGAATCTCCTGCCAATTCCATTTCATAGACTGAGTTAGAATTAAAGAGTTGTTTTTTAAAAAAAATATCATTGCACTGTAGCTAGAGAGCGATTTGGACTTAACCGTCATCTGGAAAGGGGAAGGGATGTGAGTGTGTGCGCAGCTGATTTTTGCAAGCCAAGGTTGCAGCAGTCCCATCAATGCATCAAGGGAAACTCCTTTTGGAAGACAGAACCACATGCAAGTGGTTGGCACCTGCCCCCCCCCCCCGGAAGCAGTTCTTAACAAGCCCGAAACCTACAGTGATGTACAGGAGGCGGAGCTTCTGGGTAGCATTTGATTGGCCTCAGAAGGCGACACCCCCAGGGGGGAGAGTGTTTCCTGCTGCTGGCGGGTCTCAGAGGGGAGCATGGACGCAGCTGTGGCACCACACGGGGTCCATCCTGCTGCGGCTGGCCACGGCCCAAACATTCCCAAAACGCAGAAGTCACCATCTCGGGCAGAGGGAGCACCCGTTGCCAGCTCGGTGCACCACTCGATGAAAAAAAAAGGCAAATCCGCAGCGACCACAACACGTTGAGGTGTCAACCTCTCAGCTCATAGCCTGTGTAAGTTTAAGGAAGAGAAGCCAAACGCTCTGAACAAAGCTATCCCAGATGTATTTGGCAGGAGGAGGAGACCACGTAAAGATCTTCAGCAACACAGCTGAAGCATTAAGCAAAACTCCACACCAAAGAGACTCAGAGACTGCGCAAAGCACGCTTAGAGAGATCAGGAAGCCTCTTTGCTCCTGGAGGGAATCCCAAGAAGGTATTTCGCGCAGGGAACAAAGTCTACCGCCAAGCGCCGGATCTTCCCCGAAGCTGCAGAAAATAAAACACGAATAAAACACTTTGCAGCCACAAATAGAAGGGGGTTATTATTAAAGGGGTCACTTTCATTTTTGTAATTATTCCCAGCAATCCCCCCCCAAATCCTTTTAAAGACTGGGATCCTGGGATGCACAGGATAAAGGCTCTTCATCCCTAAGCCATTTCAAATTTGCATCATTATTTTCAAATAACTGTGCTGGATTACAGTGATAGGAGGCTTGGGGCAGTGGTGTGCTGGTGGAAAGATTTTATTGAAATGTGTGCATTTTTAAAAATTGCCGTATGAAGGCCAAAAAAGTTGTATTAGATTAGATTTTCAGACCATCATTAAGGAACAAGGCAGTGGCTGGCAGGACATAGATACTCAGATGGGGCTGGGATATGACTCCCCTCATGTCTGAAAGGGGATGGATGAATCTGTCATTTCGGTTTTCTCCCACTTTCTAATTTTCCCCAAGCTTTTAAGTTCAATTCTCAACATTCAACGCCCTCAGTTTGTACATTTAAAAAAAGAGTCTTTACAAAAACCCACCAGCATATTTTCCCTAATAACATGCAAGTTTATAAGTGCTTTCCCCTAATACATAGGTGTTTCCAAAGCAATTTCCTCCAAAGTAATGGATTTTTGTGGGTACAGTTCTCACAAATGCATGCATTTCTTTGCCTTAATAGACACACTTTTGTACACAAAACTTGGTCTTAAGAACCGGATTGCAAAATTCGGAGAAGGGTGGATTTTGAAGGGCTGCCGCTTTTCGGTTTGCAGACCTCTTCAGACACTGCAAATGTTCACATTTGCAGGCAAACCAAATTGAATTCTGCCCCTATTTCTATCAGCCTGATCTTTCACTGTGGGCGTAGGGGGTTGATGGGAGAGGCAGTCTGGCAACATCCTGGAGGGCGCCACAATGGGTATCCCTGTAGTAGGGGATTCCCAGCCTTAAGGCTGCTAGAAAAAGCACCGCCACATCTGTGGAAATTGCTGCCAGCTGCATGTGCCACCATCCAGCTTGCGCTTTCAGTCACTTGCATGCGAATGCCGCCTCCCTTTTGGGCGGTATTGCATTTCAGCTCCCCTGAGTTGCGCTAAGCCACTGCCGCGATCCCCTTTAGCAGATGAAGGGAGACAGGATTTATTTGGCTCCTTGGGAATAACAAAAAGGTTGCCCAAACTGTAAAAAAAAAAAAAAAAAAAGCAAGCCCTTTTGCAGGGCAGCTTAATCCTCAAGTCCCGGTTCAAACCAAAGCACTTGGATTTTGGATTTCAGGAAACATAAGCTTCTGTGGGATTAGACAAGAGTTAAAACCGAGTATTTCAGCTTTCAAGGATCTTGTTCGTTTGTAAGGGCGAAAAAGGGGGAAAAGCAGGAGGGGAAATTGTCCCTGAGGCTTCGCTCATCCCTCCCAAATTGCAGCTTCCAGACAAAAAAACTGAAGCACCTCCGTCCACACAGCAAAATTGTACCTGTTCATCCGGAATCGAGGACAACTTTCGCCTGCTGAGATTCCTCGAAAGTCTCTTTGAACCAGCCCCCGGCCCAGACTCCCTGTGCTGGGAGATACCTTAAGACACCCCAGCCGGCATATGCAGATTTGCCTCTGGCAGGCCACGTCCCCCTCTCAGCGTTAAGCCAATGAGGAGGGAGCTATGCAAAACTGTCTCCCAATGGTCATGTTCCCTACCATTTCCTGGCTCGCCAGCCACCAGAAAATGAATAGCTCTCTTCAGGCAGAGTCCGTCACAGGCCACCGCAGGTTCGAGGCGGGGGAAGAAATTTGGTCGGTTGTTTTCATGAGAGCCTACCTAATTCACACACACACACACACGTAAAGCACACACGCCAAACTGAAGCGTGCACATAAAACTCTCCTTCACGATCCGCACGTCTCTGGAATTTGCGGCGCAGTTTGCCGACCGGAAAAACATGGGGGGGGGGAGATCACATGGGGGGTGTCTGTCCATGAAAACAGCAAAGAAAAATGCACTCCGTTAGGCAAAACAGCTTCAAAAAAAAATGGATAAAATAAGTGTACGGTGAAATGCTGGCAAATTTTCGTGAGTTTTTTAAAAAAAGAACATGAGGAATTGTTTTTTTTTAAATAACTAAATTGTAAAATGATGCGGAAATGTGGCCAAAAGAACTTAAGGTTGGAAAAGTGGGAAGCTGAGGGGAACCAGAAGTGACAAGATTCACCTGTCCCCACCACAGCCAAGCAAACGCTGCACAAAGAACTAGCTTGTTATGTGATCGGTTGTCTTCTGCAGTGAGACCACGGGCAACGCATGGCCTTCAAAGCGAGGCTGATAAAAGATGTCCAAATGCAAAACCACACAGAATTATAAGCAAGCGGAAGTAGGCACAGCAAGCAAAATATCAGCACTGCCACAATCGTGTATAAATGTAGGCTACAGTAGATGACTTGCCATCAAACTGAGAAGAGATGAAGAACAGGGAGGAGTAGCAGAGAATGGCCACGATGCCCGAGGGGTCAGCAGTGGGGCCACATGCTGGGATGTGATGCTTCTTGGCAGGTGCCCCACAATTCCAGCTTCTAACACTGAACCACTGTGCACCCGCTAACTCTTGTGCTGTGCAGGAGGTTGGACTAAATGGTTTCTGAGGTTCCCTTCCAGCTCTGTGATGCTACAAGTGAAAATACTGTTACATGCATCCATCAAAGCGGGCTTTGGCTCATGAAATATAATGCTATAAACAAAATGTCCTGGTCTTTATAAGGAGCCACAAGACCCTTTCATTGCAGCAGACCAACAAAGTAGCTGGTGCTTTTCTTTTCTTTTTTAATGTACACTTTCAAAAGGTAATGTGTGAACAGGATGAGCGAATGCTTGGGAACGTGCAGAACCATGCAAGAGTCAGGACAACTTGTAGGTCCCCATCAAGTTCAGGCCTTGGGATGCCAGAAGGCATTGTTTTCTGTTCCACTCTGTATTTTTCGCACACAGCACTGTTTTTCTATTCCACTGAAAAATGGGTCCGAACCCCAATGTCTAAAACTCCTGGTAGAGGACAAGGATGTAGAGATCACACTAAGCGTGGCCAAATTCTGTGCGACTGCCATAAAACTTACGGAACAAGCTGTACTACCAAAATGATTAAGGTTTTAAATGATATAGTTTTAGGTTATATTTTAGTGATCAAGATTTAATGTATATTGTTAACTGCTGTTAAATCTGAATTATCTCTGCTAAACCCATTTGCAATTCAATGTATTCCCATTGTGTTTTATGATTTTTCTGATCTTGTAAGTGAGTCGGAACTGGTCTGTGACCATAATAATAAATTCAAATATTCCACTGAAAAATTTCCACTGTGAAATTTTGTAACTCATGTAATCTACCTAAGTTGTGTCCTCTTTATACGTTATTCCTCTTTATACGTTATCGCAGACGGGAAGCAGCAGCAGCAGCAGCAAATTCCACTCACACTCATCCATTCCAGACAGGCAGCAAATATGAGAGCATCGGCGATTTCCTCTCCAGTTTTTTGTCGTAGTCCTCCGACAACCCCCTACAAACCTGGGCTTGCCACCTCACAGCTAATGAAAAGGATCCACAGTCTACTATGCCGTGACTATTCGCAGGGCCCATGAGGGAGTCAACCGTGGAGCCTGGCATTTGGTTTCTGGGCACTTTGAGGAAAACGTGACCGCGTGTGTCAATTGCTCAAGAGGTCTGCAACAGAAGGGGTTTGGTGGGGGGTGGATTATGAAGGGAGATGAAAATAGCTAAGAGCAGGGAGATTGGCTGGGCCACGTTAACAGCTTAGGAGGATATGGAGGGCAGCTGGGGAGGTCTGGGGTGGGTGTCCTTTAGACGAAAGGGTGAGAGGATGAGGGGAGGAGACGGCTTTGTGGTCTTCTGGTTAGGCTACACTGGAAGGGTGCAGAGCGAGGAGGAGATGCAATGGGGAACACAAGGTTTTGGGGTGTCACCAGATAAGGCATGCTCCAGAGAGAGAGAAAGAGAACAGGTTATGCCTGCCTTTGCTCTGCCCACTGCCAGGGCAAGCAGACAGAGCACCTGCTTTGCGTGCAGAAGGTCCTGGTTTCAGTCCCCGGCATCTCCAGGTAAGGCTGGGAATGTCCCACATCTAAAACTCCTGGAAAGCCGCTGCCAGTCAGTGCAGACAACACTGAGCTAGGCGGGCGATAGGCAGCTTCCAATGTTCATTTGTCTCAAGGGCTGTATTTCAGTGGTTAGGGCACTTGCTTTGCATGCAGAAGGTGCTCAACTCAAGGCACCTCCAGGTAGGGCTGGGAGAGACCCCTGTCTGAAACCCTGGGGAGCCGCTGCCAGTCAGTGCAGACCACACTGAGCTAGGTGGGTGGGCTGGTTAGACTTGGTACAAGGCAGGTTCCTGGGCTTCTCATCAGCTGCAGCTTGCCCTGTGGCCCCCCAGCAGATAACCCCCAATGAAATGTGGTCCTCGTGTTTAAAAAAAAGTTGCTCACTGTTGCCATAAGCCTTTGCTCACTCCCCAGCAACTGCCACCACTGCTGCCCACTTGCATGCCCACAGGAATTAGGATGGAGGGGAGCCAGGATCCAGAGGGCAGACAGGAAGGGAAACTCAATGGCTGGGGAAGCAATTCAGATCAGGCCACTCTCCTGGTTCAAACTGCCCATCTCATCCTCACAAATATCCCTGAAAGCCAGGTTGGGATGAGAGGTGGCGACTAGCCTCAAACCACTCGCGATGAGCTTAGAATCATAGAGTTGTAGGGTTGAGAGGGATTCTCCCAAAGGTTGTCTAGTCCAACCCCCTGCAATGCAGGAATCGCAGCTCGAAGAATTCCCAAAAGATGGGCATCCAGTCTCGGTTTAAAACAGGCATAGGCAAACTCAGCCCTCCAGATGTTTTGGGACTACAACTCCCATCATCCTTAGCTGACAGGACCAGTGGTCAGGGATGATGGGAGTTGTAGTCCCAAAACATCTGCAGGGCTGAGTTTGCCTATGCCTGGTTTAAAAACCTCTGATGGAGGACACTCTACCACCTTTCGAGCCTGAGAGCAAAAAGAGGGCTTGGGCCTGGGCCTTGAACCACTCCACTCCACAAGCTCCTGCAGCAGTGGCTTGAAACACTGTTCCTTCCGAACGAGCAAATTCTGTGATGGGAGGAATCACAACCAGCCTTTCTTCTTGGCCCCTTCGGCCTTCTTTGCTGCCCCTTCATTTTGTGAAGACAAGAGATGTCTCCATCACATTTCCCACCCTCCAAAGCAAGACAGGAGATCATTCCGCCTCCGGGGCGTCCACTTCTCCCGTACCAATTGCGGACTTCAGTCACATTTCCCTGATAATGACCAAGGCTTTCCTCGGCCGCCTGACCTTCATCACCTCACACTTCAGCATCAGAGAACGGAAAAGGCTGCCAGGGCTCTCAGAGAAAAGGGCCTTCCGATCCGCCGTGACAATTAAGGCAAGGCATTTCTCTCCTGGGGCCGAACCGCAGCCTCTGTTGCTTTTATCGGAAGAAGCAGGGGCAGCCCGAGGGGGTCAAGGAAATGCTTCTGAGTGCGAATCCTGCAGGACCTCGGAGAGGCCAGGGCAGAGAGAAATCAAGGAAGGCGTTTCTGTTCTGAACTGACAATTCGAGTTAATTAAGACGCCAAACACAGCCCCAGCCATTTGGCAAGTGACGCCTAATTAGGAAGGACAGTCTAATGCTCCGGCTTTATAGAGGAATGAAGGCAGAGGTGTCCACAAGTCAGAGGGGAGCTGCTAGCAGCATGCTGGGCAAGGTGGAACTCGGATCTGATGCGACAAGCGCTTTGATAAGTCATGGCGGGCAACTCCATCAGCCAAGGTATCCCAATGGAACCTCCATACTTAGAGGAAGTATACCTGTGAATAACAGGTGCTACCCAAGACTCAAAAGTACAGAAGAGCCCTGGCTGGGTCAGAACAGAGGCCTACTGTTCCAGCAGCCCAAGCAGGTGCCCCTGGAAAGCCCACAAGTTGGAAGAAAGGCCAATGTCCCTCTCCCACCAATGCTCACCAGCAAAACTGGTTTCTCAAGAGGCATCCTGGAGTTGGAACATAGCCACCGAGAGACTTTTCCGCCGTGATCTTGCTTGGAGGTCCCCAAAATGGAGCGAGTGTGTGTGTGTGTGTGTGTGTGTGTGTGTGTGTGTGTGTTTAGCATCAGGGCATTGATGTAATCAATGGGACGTGGGTGGCACTGTGGGTTAAACCGCAGAGCCTAGGACTTGCCGATCAGAAGGTCGGTGGTTCGAATCCCCGCAATGGGGTGAGCTCCTGTTGCTCGGTCCCTGCTCCTGCCAACCTAGCAGTTCGAAAGCACGTCAAAGTGCAAGTAGATAAATAGGTACCGCTCCAGCAGGAAGGTAAAGGGTGTTTCCGTGCACTGCTCTGGTTCACCAGAAGCGGCTTAGTCATGCTAGCCACATGACCTGGAAGCTGTACGCCGGCTCCCTCGGCCAATAAAGCGAGATGAGCGCCGCAACCCCAGGGTCAGTCACGACTGGACATAATGGTCAGGGGTCCTTTACCTTTTATTGATGTAATAATAGAGCATTACTCC